GGACAGGAAATTAAGAATTTGGTGGGGTGGGAGAAGAAATGAATTTACTTTTCTTGTACTATGTCTTGATCACCTTCATTACCTTCATTCTGTGTTATTTCCATTAAATTAGGAACAAAATGTGAAGGAACATCCTTACTTCAAGAATTTTTCCTGGTATATTTTGTGATCTTGTTCCTTGATCACCTTCATTACCTTCATTAGAATTCTATGGTTTTTGAGCAGCAAATACGTTTTTTGCCATTTTAACTTCATTAGCAGTTCAAAATTCTCTGCAGCTTTAACTCACTTTTCTGTGTTATTTCCATTAAATTAGGAACAAAATGTGAAGGAACATCCTTACTTCAAGAATTTATCCTGGTATATTTTGTGATCTTGTTCCAAATCTGATATAGGGGTCACCACTATCTTTAAAATCATTATGTTAACTCTTCTCAAAGAACTTTACCAAGCATCTGCCATGAATCAGACACTTTGCTAGGTGTTCAGAATAAAACGATTAAGAAAATATAGCTCCTGTCCTAGAATCCAGAGGACACCTAAATAAACATGACAACAGATCAAATATTCTCTAGGTTTTTCTTAATGTTTCATTTCTAACAGTATTCTAGATACAGGCAATATAAAAGATTGCATCTTTAATGTCATGGTGACACTGAAAGCATTGCACCATGGCTGTATGATGGATCAACCTTCTCCTGGAAGCTCCTGTGCAACAACATGCAGAACTCTGAATAATGAGCTATTCCATGGCTGAGTCAATGAGAAGCCAAAGGCAGCCTGAGTTACAGCAAAAATTTTACCAGATGCTACCCCTGCTTCCTGAGGGTGAACACAGTATACAATTGTCTGGCAATTCCATAGCTTTGCTGTCCTTAGGTAAATTTATGTTTCTAAAATGATCATTCACTGTGGAGTTCGAAGTACGACAGCATGAATAAGAAACAATTTTTCATCCTTCCATAGTTCACTTGGGAGTTCTATTTGGCCCTGTAATACAACATCTTTGAAAAACTATATTCTACTTTATATCATGTCTGCAACCTCAAAACTGCAAGCCTGACCTTCATCTTAAAAAAGAGATCTAATATTTCTAAAGAAATGTGTTTAGAATGAAATAATGATTTTAATGTAAACTGACATTTCTTTAGAAATATTAGATCTCTTTTTTAAATAAAGGGATACAAATTATTTTATCACATTCTGAATGTAATTCAAGGACTGAACACTAAATATATTTAAAAATAACGAAAAATGCATTTTAAAAGTGTCCCTCTTAGAATTTAAAGAGTTTTTTTTTTTTTTCAAAGACTCCATCTATCTATTTGACAGACAGAGATCACAGATCACAAGCAGACAGAGAGGCAGGCAGAGAGAGAGAGGGAAGCAGGCTCCCTGCTGAGCAGAGAGCCCGATGAGGGGCTCGATCCCCTGGGATCATGACCCGAGCCGAAGGCAGAAGCTTCAACCCACTGAGCCACCCAGGTGCCCCTTTAAGTGCTTTTTTGCAGATATCAGCTTACAGAGTTCTATAGAAATTCTACTGTGTACAGTTCACTGATGTAACAGCCTCAGAAGAGCAAAGACTCAGAATGTGCTAACTGGAAGAGTTGTTTTCACTGACTGTGATAATTCTGGAAAGCTCCAATATACAATAATAGACAATTATAAGAGAAGTTGAGAGGGGGCACCTGGGTGGCTCTGTCAGTTGAGCGTCTGACTCTTGGCTTGGCTCAGGTCATGAAATCCAGCCCCATGTCAGGCTCTATGCTCAGCATGCAGTCTGCTTGAGAATCTTTCTCACTATTCCTCTGTCTCTCCCACCCACCCCATGGATGCAGGAGCTCTCTCTCTACAGAAGAAGAAGAAAAAGAATGAGAAAGAGGAGGAGGAAATAATCTTGGTGGGGGTGGGGAAGACAGAGAGAGAAGTTGGGAATAGATTTCAAGGGAAGAGAGTGAATACAGAATGAAACTGGCCAAAACTTGAAGTTTAATGGTTTAAGAGAGTAGAGACTGTGAACAATTGGGGAAAAAAAAAAAAAAAAAAAGGCAGAAAAGAGAGTCATCATATTTTGGGGGGATAGCTACAATAAATGATATTTTAGAAATATAACCAACATAATATAAAATATTACTTGAGGCACTGGTGCCAAGCTAAACATACCACTACTACTACTAATTAATAATATTACATTTACTGCTAAAATTTAGTAAGCAGTTACATGTCAGCCATTTTGTAAACCACCATGAATGGATTCAATCCTTATAACAATGTAACCACCATCAACCTCACTTTATAAAGGAAGAAACCGGAGATTAAAGAAGTAATTTGATCATTACTATACAGCTAATTAATCAAAAAGCCAAAACCAGAAATCAAGTCATGTGTTTCCAGATGCTGAGAGAAATATGCTAGACTGCCTCCTCATCTGGTAGAACAATTAGCCAGTAAACTGTGGGAGTATTAAAAGTAAACTGTCTCCTACATACCTTTTTAGGGAGACATTCACAAATAGAAAAATAGAAGTTCTTTTACCCAACAGTATAAATTTCAAATTTTCAAATGGAAGACAAGGGAGAGATGCTTATAGACACTATGGATGTAACTATCTTTTTCACAAAATAAAACAGGCAAAGGACAAAATCTCTTCAGAAACGGTATAATGTTGGTTTAGCCAAACAAAATTTATCTAAAGCAAAAAGGGCTGATTTTCAAATTCTATGGGTTCTAAGTAAAGCAAATTATTGCGTACAACTAACACAAGCCCTGTAAGTAAGTTAAACGGAGATACAGCCCAGTAAATCAACTGTGAGGATGAGGGAGTCAGGCTGCCCAGGATCTAATCCTGGCTCCACCACAAATAAGGAGACTTACTCAATCTCTGCCACCATTTCTTCATCTCTATAATAAGGATAATCATATACTGTAATTATATCTACCTCAAATGAGATTCAACAGAGAGTACTAAATTAAGGTTAGCAATTTTTATTATTAAAATGAAGTACCTAAAACCAAGTGCTAAGTCATTTTCAATAAATGCCCTTATGCAAAATTTCCATACACTGCAGCACTACATTTTATATACAATGAATGTGAATATAATCATTGTATAAAGATATTTCTAAAAAGTCACTAGGCATTCTATGTGAAACAAAAATAAAACAATATAAAATAAAAGGACTGTTATCACCATCCTTTTCCTTTTCTTCCATAAAGGAATTAAAACGAGAGCACTTTGTAGAAACCAAAAGTGAAAATTAACATGTAAATGCACATGGTCTTTTATAAGATTAGAGCTTCAAATAGAAATATCTTACCATAATCTTCCTACCAACAATGTATTTTTGATAATTGTTCTAAAACAATCTCTTCTTGAGAACACTGTTCTCATATTTGTTTGGACGGCAATGCACAAGCAAGTGAGGGTGTTCTTTATGGAAACCCCAAAATGATAATGATGTCCTTACTGGCATCCTAAGAACTAGGAAAAACTTCACTAGATTACAGAGTTGCCTATATACATGCAACATATATGCCATTTTCTCCAGTGTGAAAAGAATAAGCACAAACCCAGAACTATGAAAAATCTAACCAAGACCAATGTAATTTTTCATTAACATCAATTTGGTACTTGTTAATAATAGTAGCTGACTTTTGAGTAGCTATTATGGGCCAAGCAATATGCCAAAGAGTTATATGCATATCTTACTTATAACTTACCTTGCTCATAATCATGAGGTATTCATTATTATTTTAATTTTGACAGTGAAACAGCAGGTGATGAAGAGGTTAGATATAATTTTAAGTTCAAATAGCTGGTAAGCAGGAGTGAGGATTCAAACCAATCCTGACTCAAACCTTGCACTCTGAACCACAACACTAAACTCTACATGATTCAATAACATCTACAAGTTTAAACATCTTACATAATTACATTCAAATTTAATACTAATAAGGAAGAATTAATATTAATCAATTTTAAGAACAGAACATGAAGTATCGATGGGAGGACCATTGAAGAACTGCTGTTGGGGATGTAATGTATGCAGGTAATTATAGTTAATGATATTGTATTTAAACACTTAAAAGTTTATACACTTGAAAGTTCCTAAGAGAGTAGATCTTAAATGTTTTCAACACAAAAAGAAATGGTAGTAACATGATGCAATGGAGGTGTTAGGTAATGTTAACTGTAGCATACACAAAGGTATGGAAGCAATACATTGTGTATCTTCAACTTATACAATGTTATATGTCAATTTTATCTCAATAAAGCAGGGGGGAATCACAGGGGAGAGAATTGCTGAGAAGCTCCTATTAGTTATTTACTCTGAAAATTACTCCTAAGTTCCAAGTATAAGGTGCTTTCTTAAGAACACAGCTGAAGAAATCTAGTTCTCTAAGCCATAGTTCAAATAAAGTCCTTCTTACTATGACATAAGCCAATTGTAGTCAATCCTTGATCAATTAACCTATAACTCCTCAAAGAGAGAAGATATTCTAGAGAATAAAATTAAGTTTTAGGAGATAATCTAAATCCACTCTGCTTTGTTTGTAATCATTTTGGAATTCACTTATTTAAATTTGAAGGAGGCACAAATGTTAGTGTTGCAAAAAAGAAAAAATATAACCCTTAGTCTTTAGTCTGATTGCTATTTGCTGAATATGAAACGAATATTCAGTTTTGTTGAGTCCTCTAACAATATTATCTTATATGTCAATGATTTCTAATTTTGAATTATTATAATTAGCATATTTATACCCATAATTGGAAAGATAAGAAATTGTATAAAAATAATTGTCATCAGTGAGAACTGTGAAACGACTGTTCATACCTCAAACATGCCTAGTTCAATCTAACCTAAAATCTTATTATCTGGAATGAATTTTTACTAAAAGACACATGTCTTGAGTCTGCTTCAGATAGCTAGTAAAGACAAGAGGATTAATCATCATATTTAAAAATAATCTTAAATCAAGCCTTAAAATACATCTACCTTATGATATCCATTGCCTGGTAAAGTATTTCAGACTGATCAACTCCAAGAACTTTCTTTGCCCCAGCTTTAGCTGCAAACATAGAGAGAATTCCAGTTCCACAACCAACATCCAAAACCACCTAGTGTAATAAAAAAACAGATGTTATTGAGAAGGTCTAGTATTTTAAGTTCTATTTATATATATGACATTATCGGGAAGGAACAGATCACAAAATTTAAAATTTTACAGATCAATGATAGTAGTAATTTCTATTAAAAAAAAACACAACTGAAGATATGACTAAAATGGGCTGTTTTAAATTCCTTTTTTGGGGGGGGTATATAAGTTCTGTGCCTAAAATGGGCTTGAACTCATGACCCCAAGATTAAGAGTCTTATGCTCTACTGATTAAGCCAACCAGGCACCTTGGTTGTTTTACATTCTCAATAGCATATCTGGCTATATTCTGCTACAATCAGATGCAACAATGTAAATTAAGAGATGTTTTATATGAAATATGTGATTTGTATAGATTTCATAAGGAAGTATTCTGTTTATAATTTCCCTACTGTATGTATGCATGCTCTAATTTAGGTTTAGTAGTTCTAAATTTTAGCCGAAATAAACTTTCTCAAGTTTGAAAGGCAGGAATTAACTTAAGCAGGATAAGAACCTGATTCAATACAATTAACAAATGCTTATAAAGGAATCCTAGATGTAGAATATTGTCATATCCCCTCCAGATCCAAAATTAAATATTCAACTCATTTAAATAATACAGCTATATTAAAAATACATTGGCTTCTAGAATTCAGAACTTCAATATAAGTTTTAAAAATGATCCTTGGGGCTCCTGGGTGGCTCAGTTAGTTAAGTGTCTGCCTTCGGCTCAGGTCATGATCCCAGGGTCCTGGGACTAAGCCCCAAATTGGGCTCCCTGCTCAGTGGGGAGCCTGCTTCTCCCTTTCCTCCCCGCTTGTGCTCTCTCTCACTATCTCTGTCTCTCTCTCTCTCACATAAATAAAATCTTTAATAAGTAAAAAAAAATAAAAATAAAAATGATACTCTCTTATCATTAGTGAAGGTAATAAAAATCAAAGTTTAAGATGATACTGGAGGGGCACCTGGGTGGCTCAGTGGATTAAGCCTCTGCCTTTGGCCCAGGTCATGATCTCAGGGTCCTGGGATTGAGCCCCACACGGGGCTCTCTGCTCAGTGGGGAGCCTGCTTCCCTCTCTCTCTCTGCCTGCCTCTCTGCCTACTTGTGATCTCTGTCAAATAAATAAATAAAATCCTTTTTTTTTAAATGATGATACTGGAAACAGGTAAAAAGCAATTATTTCTAAATTAAGAATTGCATGTTATTTTCAGGACTGTATAGTGAAACCTGCAAAAACAAAAACAGGGCGCCTGGGTGGCTCAGTGGGTTGGCTTCTGTCTTCGGCTCAGATCATGATCTCAGGGTCCTGGGATTGAGTCCCGTATCAGGTTCTCTGCTTGGCAGGGAGCCTGCTTCCTCCTCTCTCTCTCTGCCTGCCTCTCTGCCTACTTGTGACCTCTCTCTGTCAAATAAATAAATAAAATCTTTAAAAAACAAACAAACAAACAAAAAAAAACAAATTGCTGAGGACACACATTAGGCAAAGTACTCAGAGGTATACTACTCTGTGAAATTACTGAAAACTGTAGGGCCTTAAGCCTTTCATTATTGATGGTCTAAATCCTATGTACTCATCCCAAAATATGAAATGATTTCAGTATTCTGTAAATATTAGTACAGTTAAGAGCAGGCACTGATCACAGTAATGGGATATGGCCACAAACAAGACCAAGCCCCTGTCTTAAGGAAGGGGAGATTCTCTTGTGGAGAAGACCAATGAATGAACAAATATAAAATAATGTCAGGTGGTAGTGTTATAAAGAAATTCAAGCACCAGAGTAGAGATTAGAACAGGGAAAAGGGAACCATCTTTTCAGAATTTTAAATAGGTCTGTGAATATGTTTCCCCACATGTGAGCACAGAACTGAAGGCAATAAAGGAGCATACTATGCAGAGATCTGGAGAAGTGTCTTCTGGCCACGGAGGATATCAAAGGCAAGGCATGAAATACCAGGCAAAGCTAGACCAATGTGGCTAAGCTGGGTGAGAAAAGGTTGAGGTGAGGTCAGAGATTAAGAAGGGACCATATCACACAGAACTTTTGGATTTTATTCTGAGTAATGGGAAGTTACCGTAAGAAAAACAGAACAAGAATTAAGAATTTATTAAACTGTTCGAGAATTATTTTATTCTTCAGCTAGGTAATATAGTCAAATAGCTTAGACATAAAAACTGTATTTCTTAGTTATCCTTCAAGAGACTTTCTATGCAAATGTAATGCAACACATTTTTTTTTCTTTCCCCTTTTGCCCTCGCTCCGTACTGCTTTTCGTATTTAACAATGTAATGTAGAGATCTTTCTGTATCAATTCATGGAACTTCTTTCTCTCATACAGTCGTATAGGATTCCATATTATGGCTGCACCATAACCTATGGACCTAGTTCTCTACTCATGGACATTTAAGTAGTTTCTGAAATTTTACTAAGATAATCAAAGGTATAAATAATCTTATACCCAACTGCATTCACACATGAGTAAATCTATCAGAGAGAATATACATATTTGTAATCATGGCAGACATAATCAAATAAATTCTCTTCCTTGGGCCAATCTAACCAGCAATGTTTAAGTGCTGATGTCCTTATAGGTGAGACTAGCCTATGAAACATACGATCACACTTTTGGCTATTTGCCAATCTTGCAAGTACAAAATAATAATATATTGGTCTAGTTAAAACATGTATTTCCATTATCATGAGATTTAGCATCATTCCTTATGTTGTAAAGTCATACATAGTTCGTTTAGAAACTATCTACTTATATACCCCTCCTCTATTTTTCCAGTTAAGTTTTTTCTTATCAAATTTCTAACCAAAATTTTCTTAATAAATCTTGTCAAACAACAATTCTTTGTAAGTTAAGGAAATTAAACCTCCATAATAAAACCTGGAATGTTTCTCTCAGCATATATTTTTTTAAGGAACTCTTGTTTTAGTAGCTATGAGAGATTATAGTTTTAAAGATTTTTAAAAATATATTTATTCTGAGAGAGAAAGAGAGCATGAGTAGAAGGAGGGGCAGAGGGAGAGGGAGAAGCAGACTCTATTTTGAGCATGGAGTCTGATGCAGGGCTCGATCCCAGGACCCCAGGATCATGACCTGAGCTGAAGGCAGACAGTTAAATGACGGAGCCACCCAGGTGCCCCACTCTCAGCATATATTTTTGTCTTTTGATTCAGCTTACAGTGACTTTTGTTATGTAGAAATTCTTTACTTATAGTAAAACTCATCAATCATGTCTTTTATGGCTTCCTTCTGGATTTTCATAATTAGACTGACCCTCCCCATCTTCCCTATTTCATCCTCATACATTTCCTTCTGGTATATTTATGGTTTCATTAATATACTCTGTTTTTATCATAGTTTATATTAAGAGATATGGTTTCAACCTTACTTCTGTTCAGATGGCTAACCAACTGTTCCAACATGCTACTGAGCAGTGTGTTTCCCTTACTAATTTGATATGTGACTGTTAAGATCTGCTGAATATCTGTGTCCTTCCAAAATTTATATATTGAAATCCTAACCAAAAGTGATGGTATTAGAAACGAGGGTCTTTGGAAGGTAATTAGGTCATAAGGGCAAAGCCCTCACGAATGCAATTAGTACCCTTATAAAAGAGGCCCCAGGACAGATTCCTCTCCGGAGGAAGAAGGCATTTTATGAACCACAAAGCAGGCCTTCACCAGAATTAGCCAGTGCCATGATCTTGGACTTCCCAGCCTCTGTAACTGTGAGAAATTTCTGTTGTTACAAGCCACTAATAAGTTCATGGTATTTTTGTTACAGCAACCTGAATGGGACCTGGAGCATTAAGTAAAAATTATGTATATATTTTGGATTTCTATTCTGCTCCATTAGTTATATAATCATGTGCCAGTAACTATACTAATTATAGAAGCTTTACAGAATGTTTTAGTACTTAGTAAGGCTGGTCCACTCTCTGGGCCACCCTCACTACAAAATTTTTTTCACAGTGTTTCTGGAAAATTTTGTATATTTATTTTTTTCATAAGAACAAGAGAACAAACTTGTCTAGGCTTTTAAAAAAAATCTTAGTATTTTTATGGGGATTGAGCTAAAAATTCTAAGTTAATTTAGGGAAAATGGACAATTTGAGTTTTCCTACTCGAGAACACAGGCTTTCAGTTTGTTTAAATTAACTATCATGTTCTTCAGATTTAAAAGTTTTTTTCATATTAGCCCTGCACATTATTTAAGTTTGTTCATATGCATTTTATCTTCTGTATTGTTTACTGTTATGAGTGGAGTGCTTCATTCCATTATATTTTGAAAACACAATTTACTAGAACTGAGTCCAAAAGAGAGAAAATCTAAACAGCTTGATTTTCACTGAAGTAATAAAGTTGTCAAAAGTTTACTACTCTGTGTCTCCTATCTTGTGCCCCTCAAAGAAGGGTAAGGCCCGGATGCTTTCATCCGGAGAGAATCTGTGCCCTGTCTGAGTTGAGTCACCACATTTTAACATAGCTACTTCAACAAAAAAAAGTTAAGGATTTTAAGATGGAAACTACATGTCATTGCAAACAAAACTAAAACATATTCTTAAGTTACAAATATAATGTGTTAACCGTAACAGCAAGAAAATACTATAATAGGTAGCATATATGCTTACAGTACATTAGTTTGAAATATATGGCATAAAATAAAAATGGAAAAATAAGTAACACAATCGTAAGTGCTAAGTTTCTAGAAACTTTCACTGAAATAAAGTATCTGCAAAATTTCAAAATTAAAAATAAAAAGTCAGTGTGGAATTTAGAAGTTTGATACTATAGTATTTGGTAATGGTGACTGAGAATATCAACAGTCACACACTGTTTATGGAAAGACAGGCGGGCAGCACTAATACCATCTAAGGTATAAATATTCTTTTTTGACTCAGTAAGTCTACTGCTAGGAATTTATCTTATTATTGTACTCTTATATTAAAAACAAATTTAAGTATTTTATATATATATTTTTTAAAGATTTTATTTATTTATTGGACAGAGAGAGATCACAAGTAGGCAGAGAGGCAGGCAGAGAGAGAGAGGAGGAAGCAGGCTCCCCACCAAGGAAAGAGCCCGATGCGGGGCTCGATCCCAGGACCCTGGGATCATGACCTGAGCCGAAGGCAGAGACTTTAACCCTCTGAGCCACCCAGGCACCCCTAAGTATTTTATATTTTTAAATGAATTGTTTCTAGTATTAAAAATTAAAACTTATGGACATTCTTACATTGGACATATGAGCCAATGTTAATAAGGAATCATCTCTAAGGAAAGTTGCTGAATAAAGAAAGCTTAGTACAGAAGGATATATATTATGCACTCCAATTAAAGTATGTGTTCTTTTGTAACACTATATACACACACACATAATTTATATACACATGCATACATATATATGTGTGTGTGTGTGTGTGTGTCTTAATGCTCATTTTGCAAATGAGGAACATGAGAGAGTTTCAGAGAGAGAGAGAAGGGTATAGATCAGGATCATAAAGTGGATAATTTGCCAAGCTAACATGCAAACATAGGCCAATCTGCTTTTAAAGCTATATTTTTAAAAATATTTTTAATTATATATTAACTACTTATTATACCTAGCTCAAAATTAGGTAATAAACTAAAAATATAATCAAAGGAAAGTAAAAATGATGACAGAATAAACTAACATTATTTTATAAAATGTTGAAGGAATTTGATTCCTTTTTCTGAAAAAAAAAAAGGAGAAGAAAAAAAGTGAATCAATTTAACTGTAGATAATAATCAAAAGCATAGTGAAGGCACTTAACTGTGAATTTCTTCAATGGATTACAAATAGAAATTATGAGTGCGTGATAACACGATTAAATGCCACCCAAAGTTAAATTAAATCTGAGAAACCATATGGCCTCCACAGGAGGTTTGTGAATTCAAACAATAATAAGAAAGGAATAGAGGAAAGAAGGCAAGAAGGGGGGTTGAGAAAGAGAAGCAAGGAAGAAATGCATTTTTAATTATAAGCACCTTTTTGAAAAATAAATCTCTACTATGCACTACATAATATGATATAGAAGCTAGGGTTGTATAAAGTTTGTCTACCTAATACAGATAAAAGCAAACAAAAACAATGTTAATAAAACTTAGGAAAACAAGTTATTTCATACATTTAAAAAAGAATTAGATTTAAATAATTTTATGAACATATTCTATCATGGCCCACAAAAATAATATGACTAAATATGAAAAATAATGTCAATTAAAATATAACTAATGCATCCCACTCTAATTATTCATTCTATCCTAACATAATGGTGTTTCAAGAGCAGTGGCATAGGCTTAAGGGCACCAAACTAGGAGTAAAAACCCTCAGGTTTGTTTTTATTTTAGCTGCCTGTTTTAGGGCAGGTCAATTAACCTACTGGTCTCAAATATCTACATGTGCAAAATGAGATAAACACTTGCCCTGCCTAGTTATAGGCATACTGTACAGTGACAATGACGCAACATGTTTGAAAGCAATATATAAATTATCAAATGCTACTTAAATATATGACAGCAAATTTTCTAAATCTGTAGCCACAGTATAATAAAGAAAAGTATCCCACATCACTTAAAAATATGAAAGCTCTAGATTATTTAATATTGTTAATTATAGAAATTAAACCATGAAAGTGTTCTAAAGAATTAAAAATTGATAGGTATAATATTTTACATTGCAATATGTTTTTGAGAAGCCATAAATGCCAAGCAAGACTAATTACACATTGATTAACTTAAATGAAAACATTTTAGAGAAACTGCTAAGGAAAAACAGTCCCAAATTATTAATAAGCTGTTTTCTGATTTTGGCAGATTTAACATCTTCAGTAGGAGCAGTAAATAAAACACAAAATAACTGAAACATTATCTATTTTCCATGGGCATGTATTTTGTCTGAAAATGTGTAACAAATATATATAACATTTCTATAATACCATTAAAATAAAAAACTAGATGCAGAAGTGACTGTGTATGTCTCTGAATCCACTAAGATACATTCCACACATGTAGAAATATTCAGAATTACTTAATTTCTCAGTGAATAATCTTCTAATTACAAATATTTGTGCCTTTTCAGTAGAGTCTTGGAAATCTACTGGAAAAGATGCTCTTAACTTACTTTCACTTAACAAATTCTTACAGTATTTATATCAAAAAGTATTATGAAAGGATGGCTCAAAAACAGTGCTTTTGCAATTTAAAAAAAATCCTAATATCTTCAAACCAGAAGGGGTTAAAATGATTTCATTTTATAGATGAGGCCCAAAGAAATCCACCCACTTCTCTAAAATTATTATTTATGTGGTTCCAGAGAAGCCAGGCAGGACTAATGATGCCCAGACCAGTACATGCTTAATTTCTCTACAACATATTAATGAAAAAAATAAAATAAAAATCTGGGCACAGTCTACCTACAAATATAAAGTAAAATTTTTAATAGTAACACATTTGCTTCATGGGAAACAAAATGGTTTTTAGGACATATTAAATAAATTGTTCCAGCACTTGGGTATAAATATAAAAACTATAAAAAAATTCTTAGTCTCTGCTGTAATAACATGTAAAAAGCACACAAAAAAGCTAAGTACAAAGAACTGATAAAAACCAAGATTTTAAAAAAGAAATCACCTATTTGTGTATAGAGGGGATCAGTAAATACAAAGAAACACGTACTGTCATAAACCTTTCATTAGGTAATGCTTTGGTGAAGATATCAGAGAACCATATAAATTCCAACTGTCTAGCTCAGTTAAGTCACAAGTAAAACACAGCCTCTTGGGAAACAGAGAAAATGAAAAGCCAATCTGTATTATATTCCAAACAAAATGCAAATCAGGAAAAGGATTTTTTAAAATATAAAGATTGCTAGCCACTGCTGCAATATCACGTAAAGCTTATAAAATAACCTTCGAGAACTATCTTTTAAAATGAAGGTGAAAGGGGAATTATAAAAACCTGGTATGTTATCAATATACATGTTCTTGAAGTGGAAAGAGTGGGGGAAAATGCCCAAACAAAGTATATATGCGGCAGAAATGATAATATTTTTTATTAAATTAGTGGACTAATTTCCACCAAGAAAGAACAAACAGAAAATCTGAACTTTTAGGTAAACATGTCAACATAGAAAAGGAGGGAAGGAGGAAGTGAAGAAAAAACGAAAACAATTCATAAGGGAGGAAATACAAATGACAAAAATTTCAAACACACACACACACACACAGTGTGAAATTCCATCTTTAAAAAAACCTGAAATGGTATTAAGACTAAATATAAAACACAAAGTGTCTTATAAAGGAGCAGATGAGGTCTTAAAAGAAAGCGCTTAAGTTCTACCTTACAATATTTGACTCTACTTATAACTTCTTAAAATTATTAATTTTTAACTAATTAACATATACTAATCACTAAAAGTATGCTTTGGTACAGGGCTTATCTGATACATTTGAAATTCATAGGAATTACAGTACATCAACAATATGTTTAAGCAAAATAATCTGGATAAGTAAAGTTTAACTAAACCATGTTACTGTAATTAATGAATCTCAATTTAAAAAAAATCTGTAGACTGAATGATAGCACCAATCAGCATTTCTGCTATCAGGATTCTGCACCACAGAGAAGCGTCATAAAAGTCTCCCATGAAATAAAGCCAGAGTACACTAAATCAACTGCTAGCACAATGAGACCCAAATGAGGACTTCTACCGCCCAAGAGCCTTGCAAAAGGTACAATTCTGTAGCCAATGCTACTCACCTTGTCTTTGAAGATATGTGGATTTTGATATATAAAATCTCGGTAACTTTCTGTTCGTACTTTGTCCTAGAGTGGAGAAAGAAAAACATTCTGTTTATAGGATAGACTGAAAATATAAAATTTCTAGGAAGATATTTGTTATTTTATCACACATTGCTAGTTTGCTTGGAAAGCTAAGCTTAATTTCTTTGTCCTAAAAGAAAACAATAAAAAATAGAAACACCAACAACACACAAAGAAAATTACTCAAAGTTGGATAAGGTCTAAATTCTTAAAGATGTACACATTTTTGTCTTGATACATGTTATCATTTTAAGACTTCAACTGATAATTAAAGCTAACAGAAGCTGAATATGATGTTTTGCTCCATCAAATAGGGCCTGGAGTCTAGAGCCTGACAACGTATAGTAAAGGGAGTCTACTAGGTTAAATGTTAAAATGCTATGTTAAAATATGGTAGAAAAAAAAGCCAAAACAGATAAATGTTAAAAGTTGTGGTTACATATAAAAAATGAAGCCACACAGAGTATGGTTTTTCTAAGAAAGTCACTGATCAGCACCTATCTGATTTATAATCCTGTTTTGTTTCTAGAAAAGTCTGTAGTAGGAAATGATGCTTAAAAGCCTATAATCCCAAAGGTAAATCATTTGAGCCCTGCAGCTCACATTTGAGACTTCTACACTCTGGAGTCTCACATGACCTGTGACTGACGCAGGCATCGAATGTGAACATTTATTTTAGTTCATGAATAGAGCCGATTCCCTTTTCAATTACTTTAGTTGAGACACATACAGACAGCAAATTAAGCAGAAAGGGCCTCTGCTGCCAAGTAAATAAAATGAGCACAATAAAAATAGAATAGGAATTCCAGCTTTATTTGGGTTTCACACTAGGTAAAAAGAAATGTTACAGCAAATACTATGATATCAAAATTCAGGCAATCCATACTGTTCAAAAAACAATTTTAGGCCAAAAAAACCCCCAAAACCCATATAATGTCTCAAATTAAAAGCCAAGTTGTTCTACTTAATTACAAGATATAAAAAAATGGGGAACTGCAGAATTAATTCCATGTTTTCTGATGGAATTATTTCTAATTGCTTTATATAAAAAAATGTATACCATTCCATACATTTGTCATTTTTATACTCATCTTGTACTACAGCCAGTGATTTTTGGTGGGTGAACATCAGTCTAGGAGGCAGTCACTCGGAAAGCTCTCGCCAACCACACTGCCTCATCACTGCTCCAACTTGATCACAAGCACCCGAACGCCTGTCCTAAATCCATGTACCGCTGCTCCCTCAACTACAGTCCTTCATCCGGGCTCTTTTTACAGATCTATCTGCTTTCATTCAGGTGCAATAAAATCCAAAGTATACCAGAGTGCCTTGGGCATAGCAGAGCTTCAGTTTAGTAACTGAAGTCTTGAAAGGAAAACCACTACAAATGAAAATGCAGGCAAATAAAAGACTAGCACTCATAACCACCTGTAAAAATGGATTCTAAGAAAACACAAACACTTCAATACAAAACAAGATAATAGAAATTTTAAAAATTGTTTTTTTCACCAGCCTATTAAAACTAAGGAACACAAAAGAAGAATAAAATCAGAGCTCTAATACTAAGAAGCAACATCATTTTCGAAGACTAGTAAAGTGCCATGGAATTATTCCTACAAATACAAGAAAAAACTTAAGAATGAGACTACAGAAAAGTATATACTACGAATTTTATGTATATATAACAGTATGTTTTAAATGTATAGGCTCATGGAGGTAGAAGGAATGTATGAGTCGGATGGAGATACAATCAGAAGAATGCACTAAAGAAAAGTTATCTAATGGTACTATGATCTGTGATAAATGTTTACCAGGATGAACAATATTTTTCTTGGAAAAAAAGAGAGTGATACATCTCAGATTTACAACATTAGTCAAGAATGACTGTTCTTCAGAAAGATAAAGTGGCAAAGGATTTTGAAAGTTCATGTAATCCATCCTTCCATCAGCTGTTAGCTCTGGAATTCAGAAATGTTATCTTCATCCGAACACTAGAAAGTAAGATCACAAAGTACCTTTATTTCTAATTATAATCACAACATATGCCATCATTGAAATACCTGAGACTAAGCAACCAAAAAATCCAAATACTCTTCCCATAAAAGCAAGGCCAATTCTAAGCATAAAAATAAATCCTATCCATGGTTTCTCAATTTTAAATTATCTATAAATATCAAATGAGATTGTGGTAATACTGCAATCTTAAACAGGTTATGTGAGCTAAGAATTGCTTTGATAAGAAACAGAATATTGCTTGATACACAGAACATTTCCTGCTCACCCACAGTATGTAAGTTAGCAAAATATAAATTGGAAAAATAGTTCTTTTTGCATGGAATATATGCTTATTTCTTATGAATACTTAATCAAGTCATCCCCAAGGAGAGGCAATTACATTGTGTAACAGCTAATGGGAAGTGAGGCATGGAAAATTATACTAATAGGGATTCTTAAACGATTCTCTAAAAGGGAAAAGGTAGCACTGAAAACTTCAAGGTGGAATTTCTTAAATCCATATGTACATCAAAAGGACTTAAAGATATATGACCAGGTGTAAAGATCCTCTAGTTATGGATTTACAGCGACAAATGTCCAGGACAGACATTTGGAAATAAGTAGTCAAAATGGATTTCCCTGATGATTGTATCTAGGATATGTTTATGCCCCACCTACTTGGAGTCTCAGTAACCTTATCTGTCTGAAAACCCACACAATTTCCATACTAAAGGCCTTAAAGGTTCATGGCATTTAAATTGATGGGGTGATTTAAAATGACAAACATGGGCTTAAGTGAACCCCTTAAAAAGAATTCTAGACACAATAAAATTAATTTTAACAAAGAAAACAGAGTAAATCAATTTCTTTTAAACAAACTCACTCCAACTTAAAATAATTTATCACTTATAACTGTTATTTATAATGTTATTTATAATGCCATTACCCAAGTGACAACAAAAAGCACAACCTACTGTGACATGTCATTATTAAAGGAATGACATGACACTGCTTTAACAGACCCCAAGTAATTACAATTACTATTAATCAGGAGACCTCCACCCTGTGATCTTGCAAACCTGACTCAACAAAATACATACATGTTATTATTAAATATCCCTGGTTATTTTAAATCTATCTGTGTCAGAGGAACATGGTCTCCAGGCTTTCCAAAATAAAACAATCTTGTGAGGAAGGATTTAGGAATGTATTTTTTGTTGGCTGGATTTAAGAAAAGGCAGTGGCATCTAAAATTCACAGAGATGAACATCTAACACTTTCATGAAGTTTTTTACATTCCAACACTTGTTCTACTATAGTTTTACCGAATTAAAAAATTAGATGTTACTATTTTACAATCTGTAATACATAATCAAATGTGTAATTACTACGTATGGCTAGAAATTTATTTATATTTTATATGGACCTTATCATTATAAAAATTAAAACCAACCAAATTTAAAAACTTGATTTGACCAATTTAGGAAATTCTACATATCGATGATTTCAAATGTAACAAAGTTATGCTATGACAATTATAAAAATTATTTACAATTAAACTTTTTACCAAAAAATTATTTGCCCAAACTGAGGTCAATATTACTATTTAGAACACTAAAATTAATCATCCCCTTTGTACATTAAAAGACAAATGCATAATTTGTTACTATTTAATAGTTGCTCTTGAGAAGATGAAAACCAGCAGCAGTTTTCTCCAATGTTTTATTTCAAGCAAAAGTAAAGATTTCATAAAGATTAAGAATGATCTTAAATCGAATTTACAGTGGCTGTGATGCTCCTGTAGTCTTTTCAACCCAAGATGCGCTATTAGGCACCAAAGAGATTTAAAAAGCAGTTCTAAGAAAACACAAAAAAAAACCAGTTCTCCTAGAGAATATATACTAAGAACTCGTTTCATTCGGTTTTTCCTTTAGTACGGATTTGGAGCACTTTGTGCTCTTTTCTAACCTTTAGCATTTCTTCATGTATCCCATAATGCCCGTATGAGCTGAAATAAACGCCATCCTCATCTTCCTGGAGGTCTGCAATGGCAGTAGTAGATGACGAGCAGGTTCTGACATCTACGTTCATCACAAAATCCTGAGCAAATTGTCTGTAATCAATTTGAAATACACCCTTGAGACAGGTTTATTGGACCATGAAAAAAGGAAAGGCTAGAGGTTGAGGGAGAAGAAAAGGGAGGGAGTCTGGTATGCAGTGTGATGAGCCTCTAACTCAACATTCTATCTGAAGCAACGGAAGGCTCCCCCTGCTGGATCTTAAGCAACAGCATATGCAAACTCAGACGTAAACATGCCTTCTGTGAACCACAGAAACAGATTATATAGCTGTTTGTATCTTTCAACTGAACAAAACCACATTATTTTGATTCAATTTTATTATTTCTATTGTTCTAAAATCTTATTTTAGCAGGTGAATGAATCAGTGTGGTATATTTCAACACTATTAATATTCTTTGAAACCACAATATTTCATCAAAGGGTTATATGGGCAGAAAGTTGACCCAAATTGAGAATTATTTACCTACACCACCACCACCCACTGCAGCTCTAAAACTCAATTCCCTCTCTGATGACAACATATTAAGTATCTATAATGTATGCACGGGGGAGAGATGCTAAGCGGGGGGGCCAACAGTGAAGTTGTTGTTGGTTACTAGATTAACCAGCATAAAATCTCAAAAAGGAAAGGGAACCACAGTCAGCTACACTTTGTTCCCTGGACATTCTAGCAAACCATCAAATGGGTACTGAGGGAATGGCAACCAATTTACAAAAACCCAACAGCTAAAGCTATACTTTGGAGAAATGCAGAATCTCGGGCCCTCCTTCAGACCTCTGAATCAGAATGTACAGTGTGACAAATTCCCAAGTGATTCACATGCACATTAAATTCTGTGAAGTATATTCTGTGAAGTAAACCAGTAGAAGGCTAATTTACTCACTGGACAAAATCATCCTATGTATCTCGTTTTCTAATACTACATAATTATACTTTGGTTCTTTAAAAACAAAAATTTCAACACTGTATTGTCCCCAAACCTAAAAAATATTAATTACTCCCCCTTAAAAGGCTAGGAGAAAAAAAGTTAGTGGACAAATCTATTAGATTCTATTAGATTACCGAGTAATTCAAAGGAAGGCAATATCAAAGAACAAAAGCACTCAAGAGGACAACACTCCTAGAACAATAACCGCAAACACAAAAGTAATTATAAAGAATGTGGAAACAGGCAAAACCACAAAATTCTGTTAATCAACTACAACATATAAAAATGTTGCATACCATTAATTAACTTAAAATAAATTTAAAATTAAATACCTACATTGTGCTTTCCAATACATGAAATGTTTTACCATATTCTACCTTATTATTAGCAGTATTACTTTGGGGATCTAAATAACTAATATTCTGTAAGATTGATAAATTACTTCATTCTTTGCAGATCCTCACGCGCTCTAGCTAATGCAGCTTCAGCAGACAGTGCCCTGGCTTCCATATGTTTCAATTTTTCAACAACAGATGTGTTTTCACTGAGTCCATTGGGGTATGAGAATGGGACTGACACTGGTTCATAAAGATCTTCTACATCTAAAGAAATAAATGGACATTATTATCATGCCATCTTCTAACAATGAAGCAAATATAAACATATTATCAATAAATATATACTAAGGGCCTATTATGCAGCCAACTGAGAAATAGTTGTAGAAGTACTTCTAGTTAAATAAATCTTTAATATCCAAACTTTCCATTTAAATTTAAAGAGCATTCTGTTAGTCTAACTTTTTCATTAGGTGGCTAAATTAACCATATATTAAAGCATTAATTATACTGAACCAAACTTAGAAGCAAAAAAATGGAAGGAAAAAGCCCTAATATGTATTTTTTTTTTAAAGATTTTATTTATTTATTTGACAGACAGAGATCACAAGTAGACAGAGAGGGGGACAGAGAGAGAGAGGAGGAAGCAGGCTTCTTGCTGAGCAGAGAGCCCGATGTGGGGCTTGATCCCAGGACTCTGAGATCATGACCTGAGCTGAAGGCAGAGGCGTTAACCCACTGAGCCACCCAGGCGCCCCCCTAATATGTACTGATCACCAGATTTCTTCCAAGCACATACATCTTATTTCTTCCTCAAAACAAACCTAAGATATAAATATTTATCCCTATTTTAAGGCATGGGAAATATAAATTTCAGAGAAATTAAGGGAGCTGCCCAAAGTCACTTGGTGATTTAATAAAAAAACTAAGATACAAACCCATGCCTGCCCTCCTAGTTCATATTCTTGCCACCACACTAGGTCCCTTCTCAGACTCTGAGTCTTTATCTATAGAATAACAGGCATTACATTTAGATATTTACTAAGGACAGTGTGTACATAAAGAATTTTATACATTCAGTAACTTTTTTATCCTAGGTAATGGGTAGTGTAATCTATACACCAATGTCTTATTGCTGGTATTATGACATCCTAATTCCTAATATCAAAAGACTTAACTTTAATATCTTGATGTATAAAGTCATTAATTTCCACTGTAGAACTAACAACTCTGCAAACAGAAGTTAATATATGGAGTTAGTGACTGTGGTCAAAATCCCAGTGTCTATTAATCAGTCCAATTAACCTTCTGATCAACTTAAAACAATAAAAATGATGCAGATATATTTTCTCTTCAGTACAGCACTGGAAGAAATATGGCTTCATTTTTCCATATTCAGTTTTTAGTTGTGACACTTACAGAGTTGAGAAAAAAGAACTAAGCTTAACAAATACATGAGAATACAACTTAGAGACTAGAGCCTACATCGAACTTCTTCTGAGAGCAGTAGTACAATATGCCACTAATCTCCAATCAGTCAGAATACTGAATCACTATTTTAAAACAACTATAGATTCATTTGCTATTTACTTCACCAAAAATTAATGAGAACAACAAAATACGTTAAGGACAGTACACCATATTTTCTAATTCTTACTACAACTCATTTTCAAACTTCTTCAAACTGTTTAAAAGCCAGCTTGTTGGTCTAAATTACAGATGAAAACTGAACAAAGGAATTGATTTCTTTGTTTCAGCAAGTTTCTCTGTTTGCTTTTTGCTGCAATAAAAGACAGAGTAATCTTTCAACACTAATAATATGTAGATAATCATATAAAGGAAATGTTGAAAAGGAGAAAGGATTCAGTCAACATTAAGATCCATAACTACAGTTTATCAAAAGTCTAATTCAAAGTTCTAAACCATGTTCAGGAAGATGAATTTCCACATCTACATTCTGTCTCTGGAGGTTCAGATCACCTGGATACTTCATTTTGGCAGCTGAGAACTACCACAAAGGATGGTCAATTCATCAAGAAGGCATAACAATTATAAATGAGTATAAACCTCACAAAAGCAAAAACTGATAGAATTAAAAGGCAAAAACAGACAATTCTTTAGTCATAGAAATGTAAATACACCCCATCAATGACTGATGAATTAGAGAAATTAAAAAACATGTAAGAAATCACAACTAAAATATCCAACACCTTCAACTATTTCTAGACTAGTGGACCCAAAAACTGTATCTGACACTCCTGTAGAGTACTGATTTTACAGTCAGTCTGTCAACTTGAGTTTGTCTGATGTTTTTTCATTATTGGAATAAAGTACAGCAGAAAAATGATGTTGTATTCTGAGTGCGTTTTTCCAAGGTGTCAATAGGACTTACTAATGGTGACGTTAACCTTGATCAGTCAGTTGTGGGAGTGTCTGCTGGAAAAAAAGTTAATATCTCCTTTGTATTTAAACTTCTTGGGGAGATATTCTGAACTATGCAAATCCTATTTCATATTAAATTTTTACCCACTGATCTTAGTGTCCATTGGTGCATCTTTTCTGCAAGTTATTACTATGGTGTTTGCATAATGGTCATTTTCTCTCTTCCCTTCTAAAATTTTACTCTAGGTTTGAGCTGCTCCTTCTCCATTTATTTATTTAGTTGATTTCATCAGTATGGATTCAGGTATATTTATTCTATCCTATGAGCTAAAACCCAACACTATCACTTTGTGTTCCTCAAATTCCTCCAGATTTGGCCATGAAGAGTCCTTCAGGTTGGCTCCTGTATTCTTGTGTAAGTCCCCTCTTCCCCCCCCCCCCCCCCCACCTTTTCTTTTTAAGCACTTCCTTACTCTGTGGAGCAAACTGTTCCAGAGTCCTCTTGTATCGCCCTATGCCATCCATGGAATCAATCACTTCTCCAAACTTTTAAAAAATTTTTTATTGAACAATGGTGTTAAAATCTGGGCAATAGGCACGTTTACTGCTACTGGGGTTTTTCTAAGCTTTCTCAACAGAGCCAGGAAATACATGTGTGTATACTAACCTACACATACACAGACACCTGTATTCCCATACCTATGTGCATGTATATTAAAAACTGAGTTGATACTGATACCTCTGATTCCAATCTATCACTATAGGACTCATTTCATCCTTCTGTACTTCCTTATCTGACACCTCCTTCCCAACAGTGAGAAACCTAGCTCTTATTATCCGTAATATATTTACTTACTTGTCCATGCTATTACAGACAATACATATTCCCAGAATTGCTAGCTCAAACCTTACGAGAAAAACCTTTCCTGACTAGGTTACAGAATTTATGTAGTCTTTTTTGCAATATCCAGTCAAGATTTTAGTGACTCAAACAACTCTTTCCTTCCCCACCCCCTTCAGCTGTTACATTAGTCCTGTGTTAATACAGCTGAGTTCATTCGTTAGTGTTTGTATTCCATTTTGCACCACCACTACCCTCATACCTCCTGGTTGCTTTGTTGGTTTTTTTTTTTTTTTAATTACATGAAGGCTATGAGAAATAAAATACCTCTGTCCTAAGAGTGGGGGCTATACAGAAGGTACATTCTCCAAGAAATGTCACTCCCCCATTATCCCTGTTATGTCTACCCCACTGTGCCCTCCTATCGCTGTCCCACTAAACCCCATATGTAACTACTCTCTTTAGTCTCTAGTTTATCTTTACTGTATTTCTCTTGCACAAATGAGCAGACACACACATTTTCTCAAATCCCTTCCTTTCTTACATGAAAAGAATATCATACCATAGATACTCCTTTGAGCTTTTCCTTTTCTTATTTAACTGTATGTCTTGGAAATCACTTTATCAGTTCAGAGAACTTTGGATTGTTGTTGTTTTTTTTTTAATAGATGGTGTGGACCTACCAGAGTTTACTCAACTACTCTTCTATGTATGAGCACTTAGGCTGTTGTCAATATTTAGAAATTACAATGTTATCTTGAATAATCTTGCGTACATGTATTTTCAGAATGTTGGACATGTACCCTCGGAGCTGATTCTTATCTGTGAAACTGCTGTGTTAAAAAGGGCACATACAGTTTAGTTAGGTGTTGCCAAATTTGCATTCTACTAGCAATGTATCAGTGCCTGTACCTTCTCTGTCAACAAAATACGTCATATTTTAAAACTATTTACCGGTCTGATAGGTAATAAAAGGTATCTCACTGCTGGGCTAATTTCGAACTCTTTGGTGAATTGTCTCATCATGTACTTTTTCCTATTGTTCTATCAAGTGTTTGATCCTTTGTCCCTCAAGGTTTAAAGGTTCTTTGTTTATAAAAGAATACTGACACTTTGTGGAATATTTTCCAATATTACATTGTACTTAAAAAAAAAAAACAACTCATTTTATTTACTCAGATTTCATTAGTTTTTCCTAACATCCCCTTTCTGTCCCAAGAGCCTATCCAGGATACTATAATTCATTCAGTTGTCACATCTCCTTAAGCCTCTCTTAGCTATGACAATTTCTCAGATGTATCTTGTTTTTGATGTCCTTGATAGTTTTGAGGAGTACTAGTCAGGTAGTTTGTAGAATGACCCTTACTTTGTGTGTCTGAAGGATTTTCATGGTTTGACTCAGGTTATTAGGTTTGGGGAGGAAGACTAGAGGGAAAGTGCCATTCTCATCATACATTATAAAGAATTTATAACATCAACGTGATTTATCACTGATGTGATTATCTGGCTATGCTAGTGTTTACCAAGTTTCTCCCTTATAGTTACTTGGCCTCCCCTTATACTATACTTGCATTGCCTATTTTCTTAGTCATCTTTTTAAATTAATTCAATCATCTTTAAATCCTCAAAGCCTAATACTTAGCAGATGCTTGATAAATATTTATTGAAAGGCAGTGGAGGTTCAGTGGTCAATAAGCTTGGAGCCAAGACAGCAATGACCTTCTCTTCTCTCTCTCTCCACCAAGGGCTAGGAGCACTATTTGAGAGAACACAGGCAGCACACTAAAGGACATGCCCAGTTCAAGTTCTCCCTTTTTTACTGGCCTCTTTGAGTGTTCCAGATCACAGTCGTGGCTTCTTCATCCAAACTCCTGTAGACCTTATTTATTTACTAGTAACAATAAATTCTCCTTTATTAAGCAGTTAACCCTCTGACAGGTACTGCGCTAATATGCATTATCTTCGCAACAATTCTACAAGGTAAGTGTCAGTACCACCTTTTTACAAATTAAGGCTGAAGGAAATTAACTTAATATTCCCGTTGGAGAGTTAGATTCAATACTGATCTGCACCCACAGTGACCAACATACAACAAATATTTGTTGATATAACCTCTCCCTCTTCTGAACAATACTACCTTTTCCACTTCTCACAAAACTTACCATATCTGACCTCATAATACAAGACAGACATTTAAAAACAAAATACTCTTAAGGCTGTGGCCTCCCTATGGGAAAGAGTCATTTCTTCATGTTTCTAAGGCATTGATGTACCACTTTTATCCTGTGAGTGCTCAGTGGGTGATTTTGAATTTAGGAAGTCATGAAGAGCACTTAGTGGGCACTTTGTCATTTATCAAAGAGATCACTTTGATCACTCTGGGGAGAAATGAGATTAGAGAGAATTTGTAAAAACAGGAAAAAATCAACCCAGGACTCACCAAAATTTTGGAGCCAGAAAGAATCTCAGATGAAAACTTAGTAACAAAAAGTTCTGTCCAGGGTAAAACAGTTCCTGAATCCAACATCAAGGTCCTAACTACTACATCACAGTACCATACAACTTAATGATTGTCCTTCTCAAGGAAATGAGTAGTTTTCTACAGCTCTCACTAATCAGAGAACTGCTCAAGTTCACATTGTCAAACTTCTGTATGTGAAGGGACATGTCCTTTTAGAATGGTCTTACTGAGCTGAAGAGAGCAAATGCTTTACATCTAAATATGGTATAAATAAGGGGGAAAAGAGTATTAACCCTGATAAGTTATAACAATAAAGTATCTTAAGAAGCCAATAGAATTTTCCTAAGATCCTTGTTTAATAAGGAATGAGCTGGGGTGCCCGGGTGGCTCACTCAGTTAAGACCCTGACTCCTGATTTCGGCTCAGGTCATGATCTCATGGGTCTTGGGATCAAGCCCCACCTTGAGCTCCACACTCAGTAGTAATTCCGCTTGAGATTCTCTCCCTCAACCTCTCCGCCCACTCACATGTACACACTTACACTCTCCCTCTCTCAGATAAATAAATCTTAAAAAGAGTAAAATAGGAAATGAGCAATTGCACAGAGCAAATAAGAAAGCTATAGTCAAGAAATGAAAGTAGCCCTGCCACAAGGAAGGCTGTAGAGTTAATGTATGTAGATAAGCCCTTGGAAATTCGAGTGGAATCTGTTTTGCATTAAAACAAAATCTCAGTAAATTAGATGTCTTAAATTAAGTCAATTATCTGATCTAAATGCATCAGACAAAAGCAGCAAATACTATTAAAACTACTTTAATGTTACGTTGAAGCAGAAAAAAATTTAAAAAATGATTTTGAATCAGTAGATTTAAAAATTTTGGTTAATTAAAAATAAATTAAAAATTCAGTTAATTTTAGTTAAGTTAGCTAAATTAAAATTTTAGTAGACTAAAAATTAGTCTACAATTAAAAATTATTGGGGCGCCTGGGTGGTTCAGTGGTTAAGCATCTGCCTTCCACACCGGTCCTGATCCCAGGGTCTTGGGATTGAGCCCCAAATCTGGCTCCCTGCTCCTCAGGAAGCCTACTTCTCCCTCTCCTACTCCCCCTACTTGTGTTCCCTCTCTCGCTGTCTCTCTCTGTCAAATAAATAAATAAATAATCTTTAAAAAAATTATTTTCTCAAGTGTCCCTATGTTTCAGAACATCTTATACACAGTATTAAAACAAACTTCTACCTCTAAATTTCTCTCTAGTAATGGTCACTGTAACTATCAAACAGCTTTCATACTGAAACCAACTACCTGGTAAAGTCTTTAGAGAATTAAGGAGATGATATACTTTCTTAGAAAACTTAACCACTATTTGCCATTATAAATGACCCTGTGTTAAAGAAGACCCAGTAGGTTCATCTTACCAAATTGAAGTAATAGGTCATCTTCTAATACTGGCTTCAAATACTCTTCTTTCTCCCAAGGCACTGGGTTGTATATGGAATTCATATACTCAACTGTAGGATTCTGGATGTAAAATTAATTGCATGTTTTTTCATTGTATATAGTATTTCATTGTATATAGTCACAACGCCCCCACCCAGCAAAAAATAGAAAAACTAAGCAAAAAAAAAAAAAAAGGGGAACCATGTCTACCTCACAAAAAATCTGTATTTAAGGAGTCTATGCGTCACCTGTCATTTCATTAACTTGACTGGATGATTGCTTAGATTAAGCAATATGGTTTCAATGAACCTTTTTATTGTTTCGATTTGGGGAAAGTAGCATCATAAACATTCATTGGAATAGAAGCGAAAAAAGGACTAAGTATTTGAAAAATAGAACAAAAAGACAACCACAGTGCTTGAAATCACACTAGTAATTATTTCTGATTCAGGGAAATCCCGTTTATCAGTATTATCTGACACTGAATTATTTTTTCACATAGCACCAATTCACCTCTTGGACATAGTTAAAAATGATACCTTACTAAGCATGGTGTGTATTCATTTACTTGGTGCTTGTTATGTCGTACTAGTTCCTAATGTCCATGATTACCCCAGTATGATTACATAGCAGTTCTTTGTATTCTTCTAAAATCAACACCCCAACAGGCACTGTGGTATTTCTTTAGTTTCCAAACAAAACTGTAAATTAAGCTACTGACTTACCTTGAGTCTAATAAAATTTATTAGCTTAATGTATCCATAAAATTCAAGTCCTAATGAGGAAAAAAAAAGATAATTCACCTATTTTAATATGCATTTTGTTTAAATAACATATTCTACAGAGGCTTCTCTGATTAGATAAAATATTTCTGTTCTCTAAACTACAACTTTAAGTATTTTGAATTTCCCATTAAGAATTAGAAATAACAACTTTAATACTTCTGAGTATTTTAATTGAGAAACAGCCACATGGATAACAATTTCTAATGTTTTTCTTGCATTTCTGAAAAAGTAGGAAATTAATTTTTAGAATTCAAATCTTCATTTGTAAGAACAATACAAATCAGGAAAATTCGGTTATAGATTTTAACAAGTATTTGGCAGCTGATAATTAGAGCCAAAAGTCTCTAAATCCCCTATTTTGAGGGTGCCTACCAAATTACAATTTTGCCTGGACATGGAGTATTCAAATGATACACCAGCTTTTACATTAAGTGATATAAATTAAAAAAACAATGAGCCTTGTTCTCTTTCCAGAAATGAAGCACCATTTAAAACATGGAAAAGTAACAGGATATCCAACCAACTGAGTATTATTTGTTGTGAAAAATGTTGTTATGAGAAACATAACAGCCTTGAAGATGTTTTATAAGCATAATAGCATATAAAAACCCCTATTTGTTAAGTAAAAAAAAATTAAAAAATTATAAAGTATGATTCCAATTTAGTTTAAAAATGCACATAAAAAAAAACCAATAAATCACTCATGTCTTATAAAAGCAGCCACAGTTGAATTTATGATTTATAAACACATTTTATCACACATTGAATGTCTTTTCTAGATGATAGCAAATACAGGGACTAAAAAAAACCAAACCTGTATTTAGTTAATTTTAGTGGAACAGTGTAGCTCTTTTGCATACATTTGAAAAAGCAGACCTTAATTATAAGGGAAGTATGTTCAAACACAAGTTTCAAAAGAATCATCTAAATATTTTGTTTACCACCTTAACTTCATCACTCCTTTTTCTATACTCTTACCAAACTCAACCTTTTTGCCCTGAAGTTCATGTTATGCTTTGAACTGGTAAGTTGTCTTTTTTCACAATGACCCACCCTTTTCCAAAGTCCACCTCTATCCTTGCTCTCCCTAATTCTAATACGATAAAAATGCAATCATATGCCAAGGTTGCTTTTTTCCCCCTTTTTAGTTTTACAGTCAATATAAGCTTAAATAGAGTGAATCTCTTCTAGAAGAATGATTTATAATTAGTCCTCCTTTGAAGGCCACTTGTCAAAAAAACTTCATAAGAGAGGTTTTGTTGTATTTTTCATGACACTGAACTTGTGTAGGAAAGAAAAGGTCTGGAGGAATACAAAGTTTGAACTTAAATTTCACAACTAAAATTTCCTTTATTCTAAAAAATACTCACCATGTTTATGGACCATGTTATCAATACTAAATTGATGCTCAGATTTACAGTGTGAAAATGTTTCTTCAGCAGATGTAAATAACCTGAAAAATCAAACCATAACTTCATGAAACAGTTCCCTCAAAAGTCTAAATATTGATTTCAGGTGAAATACACACTCCCCCCACTTCTGTTAAGTCCTGTTTTATATCCAAATAAGAAAAAGCAAACATACCTGTAGATGAGAGGGACCCAGCATTTCTAAAGGGAATTAGTACCTCTGTGTCCCATTGTATACCCTACAAACTACATTTTAAATGTCAAAGTTAATTTATTTGCCAAATAATAGCACTGAGTTTATCAAAAAGCTTTTAAGGACAAGAACTCCCTTTGATAGCTTCTGTCAAGAGATGAAAACTCCCTACAGAAGATTCTTTTCTGCTCTGTGTCAATGCTGCTTTCAGAGGCTTTGAACTGCGAGAGCTCAGACTGCTTTTAGAAATAAAGCATAAAATGTAATTTTTACAGCTGGCATACTCCCAAAGTGCTTATTCCAAAGATGACCTTGCAGTGTTCTGAAAGTACTTGTGTTACAGACACTGTGAGGACCAAGCCTCTTCATTACGGGACCTGTGAAACTGAAGGATACTGGAGATAGGAACACACAGCAAGGAGCTACCTATCCCCTCAGCAGGCCTAGCACCTATGCAGCCGTTAGTTTTCAACAAATGTTTATCTTGTTGTACTTATACGGCTTATCACGAAGTACATCCCTGATGCTCAATAAATGTTATTTTACCGCAACGAGTGTAGTAGACATTCTGTACCCACGCAAATGGCGCTACATGGGAGAACAATGACAAATCAAGAGGAGCTAATATGCCACCAATCAGCATCCTGCCTAGACTTATGGGAGACTGGAAAATGTTTGTTCAAGTAACATTGGCCCATGCCAAGCAGGCCTCTTTCACACCCACTTCCAAAAGGCTGACCAGAGTCAAAGCTTCCTGAGATGAAGAGGCAGAATTTTTAGTGGAAAAACGTGGATTTGGATATACGACAAACCCTTTGTGAACGAGTTATTGATACCATAGCTTCTTTCTCCCTAAGTGAAAAGGGCATCAATTCCTTTCCCTTCAAGAGATGGCGAGCCCCTACCTAAGAAAGGTGATTCTTCAGATGGCTCAAGGGGAAATAGTACACCTTAGATGCTCTGTACTCATTAATGAATTATAGAGCGATAAAGCTGGAAGGGCCCTGAGAGATGATCTGGCTTAGTGACTGGCAAACTTATCTCATTAGAATCATCTCAGAAAATGCCTTTATAAAAATGTAAGATTCCCAGGTCCCACGCCTGATTTGGAAGGGCGGAGGCGCCGGGTTGAGCATCCTTTAACGTCTCAGGAGACAAGGGTGCACCGCTAGACTTGGGAACCACAGATTCAGAGTTCGCGCACGGGGAAACTGAGGCCGGCGGAAGAGAAGCTAGTATAACCCGGTTTCCAGTTCACGGCTCTTCCCTCTACAGCACGGTGCTTCTTTCTCAACAAACCCTCACTCCACACCACGGGCTCAAGGATTCGTGGGCAGGCCGCTCGGGCCGGGCATCAGACGAACGCACCACACGGACGCACCGCGCGCGGGCACCCTAGGGGTGGCGCCTGGCACAGAGGCGGACGAACCTGTCACAGAACAGGCAGGGGGTCTGCTGCTTGTCGTGGGGGGGCTCAGCATCGTCCTCATCCTCCCAGGCGGCCTCGTCACCGCTGTCGGACAGCTCTGGCAGGTCGTCCTCGTCCTCCATAGCGCCCCGGCCGCCTAGCACACGCAAATCATCAGCCCGGCCCCAGACTGACGCCAGTGCTAGCCGCACGCACGAGGAGCAGGGTGGGGGGTGCGCCGCCCTCCTCCCCGCTCCCCCGCGGCCCTCGCCAGCGCCTCCCCCACTCCCAGCCAGGCCCCACCGTCCCGCCCCGCAACCGGGACGGGCAGCGGAAGGCCAAGTCTTTCTCCCGCCCGGCGGGCTGCGCGCCGGGCGAGCAGGGTGCTAAGTAGCCAGGGATACCCACCCGCAGCGCCCGACGCTAACGAGCACATGGCTGTGTTGCCCCGGAACCCCGCGCGCCTGGGGGCGGGGACCGGGCTGGGCAGCGTGCGCGCAGCCGCCGCCGAGCTCTCCGGGCCCGGAAGCCTGGGAACTAGCGCGAGCGCGCGGCAGGGACGGAACTCGCGGAGTCTCACAGCCGCCCAGAAATGCGAGAACGCGCGCGCGCGGGCTTGGGAGCGCTTCCGGCCCCGAGGCCGCGGTCGTTGGTCACGTGAGTTGGGTGGGCGGGGCGGGAGCCTGTCCTCCGCTTCCTCCAGCGCCAAGGTTCGTGTATAGCGCGTAGATTCGGCGATGAATCTGGTACTAAGTGTCGCAGGCTTTGATGTGACTTTTGTCTCCTCCTCGCGCCGCGGCAGGTCTCACCGGGAGACCTTCGCCTGCGCCCCTGAACCCAGAAGCTCAGAGACCCGCCGCCGCGAGTTTACAGTGGGCACCGCGCCCTCTGTGCGTCTCTAACTCGACGAATGGGCTGTTAGTGGAGGGGGCGGCCGACCCGCGGCGCCCTCTGGTGGCAGAGGCGGCGGAGCGCAGGCAAGGACCCCAGACTACACTGATTCCTGAGGTCTCTGATTCCCTTGGGGCCCAGAGAGGACTGCAGGAGCCAGTGTGGGCGTACTAGAGCACTCACAGGTGCCGAAGCCTGACGGACCGTTTTAAGGATTTTCGTCTTCTAAGTGCAGTGGTTAAGTGAGAGCATGGACTCAGATCGAACCCATTTTGTCTGAATCCTATTTTCTTTCTTTTTTTTTTTTTAATTTATTTGACAGAGATCACAAGTAGGCAGAGAAGCAGGCAGAGAGAGAGAGAGGAAGGGAAGCAGGCTCCCTGCTGAGCAGAGAGCCTGATGCAGGGCTCGATTCCAGGACACTGGGATCATGACCCGCGCCGAAGGCAGAGGCTTTAACCCACTGAGCCACCCAGGTGCCCCTCTGAATCCTATTTCTGTCACTTTGTCAGTCTGATCTTGAGCAAGATCAAGACTTTTCACCACCTCCACTTCCTCACCTACAAAACAGGGAAAATGAATGCACTAGCCATAGAGCCACTGGATAAAATGACTTAATACGTGTAAAGTGCTTAGACAGTAAGTGTTAACTTTATCCTAAACAATGGGAAGCAGCTGACAGAGTGGCTCTTCCATACCTTCAGAAAGTGACATTATGGCTGCTGGGTGGGAAGAACACAAATGTTCTGTGCTTCATGCCTTTTTTCCCCCTTTCCTAACATGTACTCAAACTACAGAACGCTTTCTTGGGTAGGAGTGGGCAGCAGTAATTTCTGTAGGTAACTGACCAAGCTTTAGTTCCAGAGACTAGCACATGTTTATCCAATTAAATTGACTACCTTGGTGTACCAGACTCCACATAATCCTACCTGATTTCCATATCAACCCAACTCTTCAGCCTTTGATTTAGGGCTCATCTTCCCACCTCAAAGCTTTTGCTAAGAATTCTCCACAAATACGAACCATCATTTCTCAAGAAGTTTCCACTGTCTTTCCAGCAGCCCTCCATTAGTTTCTTTCTCAGCATGTACCATTATCTTGTTTGTTTGTTTTGGTTTTACCCCCAACGCTGTACCATGAGGGTAAGGGCCTTGTCTCTTTGCTTTCATTTCTCTGGCACATAATAGATGGCCTAACTCATAGTAGGTACTTGGTGAATTTGCTGAATGAAAATGACACCTTCTATTGCTAAACTCTTCTGAATGTACTCCTCTTATCTGTAAACTATAGGACAGGATCTATCAAATATTAGTTTTGAATATTTGTCCTTATACTGCCGGGATAGCTGCTGGCTCCAACAGGTTAGACTTACTGTTCACTGATGTATCTACACTTCCTGTGTGTCCAGGAGCACTTAGGAAGCATTCAGTATGGTGAATGAATTCAAGGCCTTTTGTGACCTGGGCCCATCCACCTTTTTGCTTCATCCTTCCAACATAAACTCCTTCTCCATCATGGGCCATCTTCTCCGTGTGTGTGTAACATTTGGAGGGAAATCTGCTAAATTCCTTTGTAACACCCAGTCAACACTAAAGTAAGTAGCCCACAGTCTAGAGGGGTGACTGAGCCAGAATCTCGTCTCTTAAGTTTGTGTCTCACCACGATGCTGGGCTTGGGAAGGAGCCACTTTCCTCTCTACTCCACAGACAAACACAGACTAACCCTCCCCCTAACATCCCATCTCACCACTGAGGCCAGAACAAAAAGTTGAACATGACCTGACAGAAGGTTTTGTGGGTAAGGAAATAACATAGAATAACTTAAAATTGGCCACTGGGGGTAGCTGCTTTTAGAGCCCACAGGCCTTAGGATGTCCTCATAGGGTCCCCTCACTTCATGCCGCTCTTTGGAACCCATGCCTGGCAGGAGGAATGTTCCATCTCCTTCCTCAAGTCCACATCCTAAGACCCCACCCCTTCCTAAAATACGTCTCTTTCCTGGGTGACTGACAATGGGACTGTCCAATCCCTTCTACAGATATACACCCCCAATTAAAGGGGATGGCCTTTATCCTCTGGTATCTCCTGAAGCTTGAAATGTACTTGGCATACTACAGACCCTGTAAAAATGGACTGAATCATTCAAATCACTGTTTCCCTCAGCATAGATGTTAAGACAGGTTTCACCACTATCCTTTGTTTGTGGATCGAAACTAACACTGGCTAGTCGACTTTGACCCTCCTTCCACATCTTTCTTTCCTTTCCCATAGTTTTTAAAGTGTGGCACTTTGACATACACTTCTACTGGCTTTGTGAACTTTTTGTGGTTAATCACTACTGGGATCCTAGACCCTATAAAAGAAACAAATATTTCAATTTTATCCATCCATAGCAAGTACTCATCCAGTCACTGTTAACTGGAACTTCCTGGAAATACACGGCTACCAGAGGCTTTGGAGAGTGGTTAAAAATAATATAAGCTATGGGTCAGGCTGACTTGGGTTAGAATCCTGGCTTTGCCATTTCCAGCTTCAGGTCTTCAGCTTTGGTCCCTTGGGCAAAGCACTTAACCGCAGTGAGCTTCAGTTCCCCATCTGAGACATGGGGATGATAGTAGCACCTGCAAGGATTGTAAAGATTGTGGAGGGTTACAAGACAGAGAGCTTGTGTAAAGGCTGGCACTTAGCCAGCACCGGATAAATACTAGCTCTATTCTATCATCCAACTAGCCAAAATGCTGCATATCAGCACTGACACTTGGACATTTCCTAACAATCACCCAGGACTTGTCCATTTATCTTCTTTCCTATATTTAATTCTCCCATGATCTTACAAGCTCGGTTATATAATGGCTTTTATTATACGTTGTAAAGAAGTAGTAAGGCAAGACGCCCACTGATACAAATACAGCAGTCTGCAGCGGGTAACTCAGAGACACAAATGACGATTTTAGAACAGAAATCATCTGCATAATATAAGGTTTGTGCAGACAAGCCTTTCAAAGCAGGCCTCCCCACTAGTGGCACCAGAACCACTAGGGGAAGCTTTAAGAAAAACAACAGGTTCCTGTGCTCATACCCTGAAGATTCTGCTTCAGGGATGTGAGGTAGAGCCTACGGAACTCTGTTTTTGAAAAGCTCCCTGGGCAATGTATCGATCCGTCCGACCAGGCTCTGCACTGCTGGTGCAGGACACAGTAATTTGTTACTGGATCCGGCAGCTGAAACTAGGGAAACCACAGTTAAAGCACACTGACTTTTTTTAGACCCTGAAAGTACCAGTTAGGCAGTGGGTGTTGAGTTCCAGTAGAAAGCGTTTCTCCGGTGCGGTCATGGCGTGAGAGAGCTATCGGCTCTCCCCAGGTCATGGATGGCCTTATTATCCAGAAGTTCCTTCTTCTTGCCACTTGGGTTCACTGCGTTGTTCAGCATTGCCCTAACCACAGTCGTCACTGGCACAGAGTGCCCACTGGCCCAAGATTCTGGTAAGGAGCCAAAGAATTTCCTAACCAACCACTCCCCTGGGCGAGATTCTTGCCTATCACACAGCAGAACTCTAAAGAGAAAAAGAAAAGCAGAGGAAGAGATGGTTTATTGTCTTCAGACCATACAGGGTGTTATGAACTGTACTGTGCCCACCAAATTCATGTTGAAGCTGTAACCCCCAGTGAGGCTGTATTTGAAAACAGTGCATTTACGGGGTAATTCAGATTAGTTTAGGTCGCAAGGGTGGGACCTTGATCTGACAGGATGGGTATCCTTACAGGGGAGGGAGAGATTTCAGATACCTCTCCATACTCACACAGAGGAAAGACCATATCAGGGCACAGAGAGGAGGCCATCTACAAACCAGGAAGAGAGGCCTCAGCAGACACGGACTCTGATGGCAACTTGACCTTGGATTCTACCCTCGAGAATTGTGAGAAAATAAATTTCTGTTGCTTACGCCACCCAGTCTGTGGTGTTATTCTGTTACGGCAGCCTGAACAGATTAATACAATGGGTGAAAGGTTTTATTTGGCGAATGAAGAGGATTTTTTTTTTTTAAGGCAGCAAAAGCGACCCAGGAAATTCCAGACTACTCTGAACCTGGCACCAACAAACGGTCTACCCTTTCCTTCAAAGCCAGAAGGCATGTTCTTCAGAGGAGCAATTCAACTCTAACCAACTTCTTTCATATCTTAGATATCCTAGTTGTCAGCCTCTTTACATGAAAAACTAACTTCTAGGGAATAACGAACAGTAGCGTACTATTAGGGAGTATGAATACTTACCCAGGCCTAAAGACAGAGTAACGATCAAACTGTAATTCTTCAACCCTAGCTTCTACTTCTCCCTGTTAATAAAAATCACTTGTATTTAATCAAGAAGACCAATTTACTGTAATGCTTATGAGGGGATAACTTGGGGGTTTGAAGATAATCTGCTTCCGTGGGTCTCAACAATTGTAAATATTGTTATCTGGAATTTTCGAATCTGGGAAGTTAAGGAAGAGATCGTTTATCCTGATAGGCAGTGTAGAGTTATAAAAGATGTCCTGAATGAGAGGATGGCTGCCTAGTCAGTCCGGCCTCTCATGTGATTGATTTTAGAACAGATCCAGAGAGTAGGTAACCTGTTAGGAGCTCAACCATCAGTGAGTAACTTCTCCTTAGTCTGGAATTAACATTGCAGGCTGATGAACATCAACCCTTTTTTGGTTTCTAGATAGTTCCAGTGGGTCAGAAGATGCACAGACTCTCTCTATTACTGTCTTTCTTACAAATCCCATCAGATTTCAAGAGACAGTGAGATGACATCTATACGATGGCTTTAAATTAAATTTGTTAAACAAACCATGAATTTTCATGCCAGGCATCTCTAAGAACAGAAGTGCCAGAGGAGCTCAGGCCACAGGGACATCTGAAGGCCTTGTGAATTCAGTGGCATGCTCTCCTCTTTCCTGGCCTGTTCATACTGTTCATTTGGCGCTCACCTGACACATCACATCATCTTGGGTAGCTTTTTAAAAAATTCATTAAAAATTAATGCTTTTTAGTATATTCACAGATATACTTCACCACAACCTAAGTTCAGAATTATTTCTTCACCCCCCTGCAAAAAACCCTACACCAACTAGACTTACTCCCATCCTCTCCCCCCCAGCCCTAGCCAACCATTAATCTTCCTGTCTCTATATTTGCCTATTCTGGATATTTCATATACACAGAATTCTACAACTTGTGGCCTTTTGTGAACGGCCTCTCTCTCTTAGCATAATGTCTTCAACGTTCACCCATCTTATAGGATGGATCATGCCTTTTTACAGGTGACTAATACTCTTTCCTATGCATGTATCAGATTTTATTCAACCATTCATCAGCTGGTGGATATTTGTGTTGTTTCTACTCTGGCTATTGTGAGTAATGCTGCCTCAACCATTCATATACCAGTGTTTATGTGGACAGATCTCTTAGCTTTTATGAAGATAGGTTCTGTCTCTATTAGCAGGGTGCATAGAAGAGTTAACATAGCAGGCGGACACTGTTACCTTAGGAAGGCCTGCCTGCGAGGTGACCTTTGGTTTGTGTCTGGGAACTTGGATTTCCGGAGTGTCCCCGTCATTTCCTAACTGATAGGGTGGTTTATATTGCCTCAGCTATTTGTACAAATTATGTGGCTTATGCTGAACACTTGCTTTACCTCTGGAAGTTTATAATTTTTTTTTTCCACACTCAAGGTGCCAATGTGATTGACTCCATCAAAACTGAACTCTGGCGCTCAGGCGGATTTCTCTCATTTTTCAACACTCATTGATGAAGAAATTTAGCACATGTGACTCTATTGAGAGAAGACTCTTGGAAGCTCATACCCATTTCCTCCGACTTCACTCGATGAACTCCTTCTCTTTACTGACTTTGGGCTTCACAGCCTTTTATTGTAATAAATCATAGCTATGAATATAAATATATGCTGTGTCTTACGAGACCTTCTATCAAATTACCAAACTCCGGGCTAGCCTTGGGGAATCCCCAAACAAGCAGATTAGAGTTACCTTGAGGGCAAGAGCCATGACCAATACTACAATGTCATCTACTCTGGGAAAGTTTAAGAATCACGGCCTCAAAGTCTCTTCTAATACTCAGATTCCATGCTGCCATTCAAGACCAGAGCTGTCACAACTGATTTTGTGATTATCAGGTAATCAACACAGGGAAAGACAATGGATTTCAAATCACTCCTGTTTACTGAATATATCCATGCAAAAACAGTACCTGCTGCTATGAAAAAATGGATAATATAGTGCATTTCTATCACTTAGCATTTTATATTACTTAGTATTGCCAATTAGCCAGGGTTCTCCAAAGTATATGAAAGACAGAAACGTGCACAAACCTTAACTTGCAGATATAAAAAACTGCTTGACTTATCAGCTCCCTTAGAGGACAGCAAGTTAAAATGTTTACACCCTCCAGCTTTTGCCAGCTCTGCAGACTTGAGGACATAATCTCGATCAACACGAACAAATCCTTCCTGAGGGGGAAAAAGGGTATGAATTATTTCCAAAAAGCTATGAGTTCAGCTCAAAGATGACGACTCAGGTTGGGCGACAGGCTAGGAGGCCTGCAGGAGAATGGGGATCTAAATAAAATGCACCCAAGCAGAGGCTCCGGGAAACGCTCCAAGCATGATCCTCAGGACAGACAGACCAGCTGCGGCAGCAAGGCCAGTGAAATAATAAGAACAGTGACATTGAGACAAAAACACCAAACAAATCTGCAAGGAACAAAAGGAATAATAAGACCAGGCCAAGAAATGGCTTGAAGTCACACATCTCTTTGTCTTTTAGTAACCTTCTGATTCTCAATTTTCTCTGTGTCAGCTCTAATGGGCAGGGATCTTGGGGTATAGCTGAGAACTCTATCCAGGCACTATCAGAACAAAGTCTATTTAATTTCCCATTTTTGTGTATGTTTTACAACATACTTAATATACCAGGAAAGAGTGAATCCTCACTTTTTTTTACTGATGGGTATATAATCGAGAATGTTGGAGCGCCTGGGTGGCTCAGTGGGTTAAAGCCTCTGCCTTCGGCTTGGGCCATGATCTCAGGCTCCTGGGACCAAGCCCCGCATCAGGCTCTCTGCACATCGGGAAGCCTGCTCCCCCCTGCCCTTCTCTGCCTGCCTCTCTGCCTACTTGTGATCTATCAAAAAAAAAAAAAAAAATGTTTGGGGACCCCTGGTCTAGACTTAGTCGGGTGAGTGTAGGAACAGGATATTTCTTCTTAATTCATATCTCAGCATTAATGTATGCTCAGCACATGACAGGTAATCTCAAAACATTTGAACGGATGAATAAAAGTCCAATGAAAGCAGAGAAAGCCAAACCCAGTTAGAAAACAAAACAAAACAAAACAAAAAACAACTAAGTGGCAATAAATGGGAGTGGAGAGAATGGTACAAACAGCAGAATGTAAATCACTTCCAGGGTCTAATGGAGGGACACATGCCTATACCCAGACAAGGGAAAGCCGGAAGCAACAGCTTCTCAGGATCACCACCAATGCCGGCATCCTCAAATTCCAGAGTGCTGGAGAGGAGTCTAAAGCCTAGTAAACTTTAGACCTACAACTACATAATGAGGTTTTCTATAAGGACGATTCCAAATCAGAAGACTACGTTACCACCATAATGATATTTTTTAGTTCAAGATTTGGCCTAGGGGACTTATTGATCCTAAATGTTTTATTTCATAAGGAGAGGTGGGTCTTACCCCTCCGGAAACCATATCCAACCGCTTCATTGAGAGATGTGAAAACAAGGGCCAGTGACCTGGTGAACGTCCGGTCGGAAGAGAAAACTGAGAGCGGAATGCTGATTCTTGCCTCTGAGCCATGCTCTCCACTGTGCCCAGTACCTGCTCATCTCACACTGCCTGCAGCTAATGCAGAGGGCTCACTCGTAACTGGGGTGGCCCCACAAAGATGTCTGTGTGCCGTTCCCCGTACCTGTGAATACGTTAGGTTATACAGCAAAGGGAAGTTCAAGCTGCAGGGGAATTAAGGTTGCTAATCAGCTGACCTTAAAATAAGGTTATTCTGGGGGCACCTGGGTGTCTCAGTTGGTTAAGCAACTGCCTTCGGCTCAGGTCATGATCCTGGAGTCCTGGGATCGAGTCCCACATCGGACTCCCTGCTCGGCGGGGAGTCTGCTTCTCCCGCTGATCTCTCTCCTCTCATGCTCTCTCTCTCTCTCTCTCAAATAAATAAATAGAATCATTAAAAAATAAAAAAAAAATAAGGTTATTCTGTGTGATCCAACTGGGCCCAATGTAATCACAAGAGTCCTTAAAGGTAGAAAAGGGAAGCAGAAGAGAAGGGATGAGCTATGCAGTGTGAGGAGTACTCAGTCCCCTGTTCCCCCCCCCGCCGAAGACGGAGGGAGGGGATCGCACACCAAGGAACGCAGGCGGCCCCTAGTAGCTGGAAAATGTAACAATGGATTCACCCTACCCCCCACCCAGAGCTTCCAGAAGGGAACACAGCCCTGTGGAACCCTTGATTTTACCTCAGCAAAATCCATGTTGCATTTCTTACTTATAAAACTGTAAGATGATACATTTCCGTTGTTTTAAGCCACTAAAGTTGAGGCAATTTGTTACAGCAGCCATAGGAAACTAATCAGATTTCAATTTTAAAACAACGGGCCCAAACTTTTCCAGATTTGTATGGAAGTCGGTCATAAAAGAAAAGTAAGCATATTGTAAGTATAGAGCTCGGTGACTTTTCATCAACTGAACACCCTCTGTAGCCAACCCACAGATCAAGAACTAGAATGTCACCATGACCCCAAAAGACTTTCCTATATTCCTCTGTCAGCAGTGACAGTATCTATTTTTTTTAAAGATTTTATTTATTTATTTGACACAGAGAGAGAGATCACAAGCAGGCGGAGAGAGAGCGAGCAAGAAGAGGAAGCAGGCTTCCCACTGAGCAGAGAGCCCGACGCAGGGCTCGATCCCGGGACCCTGGGATCATGACCTGAGCTAAAGGCAGAAGCCTTAACCCACTGAGCCACCCAGGCGCCCCAGTGGCGTATATTTTTAACCACACCTGTTACCTGCAGGGCAGTGTTAGGTCTCACGTGACGTAACATAAACGTCACTGGTCACCACACATCACCACCCCTTTTTCCGTGTTGTACATGTGCACGTTTGAGCCTCACAACAGACTCGCCTACTCGCTGACTCCAACTCACGGTGCTGCTCTTCCACACCTGTGTGAAGCAAACCGTGTTCCTGCCCTGCCCCTCAGGGAGGGCCCTGAGTCTCCTCAGAGCCAGTTTCAAATTGAGATTTTACATGCGCTGAAGGAATCCTCAAACTCTGATTCCGAGAACAGGTCCGTTATTCACAATGAAATCCCAGCGCTGACTAGTGAAATCAATTCCTTTTCATTGTTGCTGCTGTTTTAGCCCTATTTCTTGGAAGCGTCATCATAGTTGTCTCTGTTAAAATGCTTTTTTTTTTTCTTTCATCAGCTTCTTTAAAAAATAAAGGAAAGATTCAGCCAATCACAAGTCCCTGGACCGACGCTGTCTCTCTCGCTTAATCCAGGGCCAGTAAAGGGATAATTTGATTAAACTGAGACCCTAATTTATTTGGCTTTAGTTCTGGATCAACCTCTTCTTAATAGAGTCCTGCCATCTCCAATTGTTTGATGAAAATTAAAGTGACATAAATGCCATGGGACTTTTTCAATCTGATTAGTCAGCGAGAGCACGTCAATACCACCCTAGCCATCAGACTCTGGCGTCCTTCCTTTCACGGGCCTGGCTAACAACTGACAACCGCTCCATGAAGGACGAGCGCCCACGCTGCCGCGCAGACCCCCACACTGGGCCCGTCATCCCTGTTCAATGGGCCCTGTTGATGAGGTGCCCATACCTTTCTCCACTGCTGTTCTCTGGACAAAGCTAAATATTGTTTTATTAGCAATCAATGGCTGTTAATCCAAAATGATTTCACAAATCCTCTGAGCCCCCAAGCTGATTATAAATACGCATTTTTCCAAGCCCACAATTTTTGAATTTCACTTCCCCCACCCTGATGCGTGGCCTTTTAGCTGATGAATGAAACTCAAAAGCAGAGGGGTCAACGGCTTTCAAGGACTTAGAAACCAAACTTAAGCGTGGATCCTGGTGACAGACTTGGAGATACCGACACACACCAATTTTCTCTGCAGTGAGGAAGATTCCATTTAGAGATAGAAGGAAGCTGTCTTTAAAATCTAATTAACATCCTTTCTTGTTCTCTAGCGGTGCAGATAAAAACAACAACAACAATAGAAGAAACAAGCTAAAACAAGCTATTTCATAACCCAGAAACATAGTTTTCATGTGTTTTCCCAGAAAAACCATATTTAGTTTCCCAAACCATATGGCAAGAGAAAAGACATCTCTTCTGAGAGCATTACAACCATTCTGTTGCAGTGTCTTTATGATTCTTTACTCAGTGTATCTTATTTTAAGCTAGAAATCAGAGTTTCTTCCAGAAAAAGGAACTGATTAAGTAAGTTTCTATTATAAATTTCCTTTCCCAGCACCCGCTCGAAAGAATAAACACAACGTAATACAACTTGGCAGAATCTCCACAGGCTCCACAAACCATTTACTCTTCAAATCTTATTAAAATCCAAAGCTACTAAGTATTTCTTCTAATCTTCTTTACACATGCCTATAAACTAGGAACACACCAGCTTACAAACAACTTCTCCTACTGAGGTATTTCGGCACTGACGGGCATGACCAGAGAGCACCCCACAATGACTCAACATCCGCAGCTTCCTTTTCTAAGGAGGAAGGATCTGTCGTTGTAAAGGGGCGCACTTAGCCACATTCCTGCTTCAGATTCTTTCTGCTTTACTCCCATTTCAACCCAGCCCTATAAATTAGACTAGAAGACAGAGATGCAGACAAACAACAAATGGTATATAATCCAAGACCTCATTGGTTGGTGTTTCTGGAGGGCATCTCTCTATTTGATGTACAGTGGTGGAACCAAGATCCCGGTTAGAGAAAAAGCTCTGGATAGAAATCAAATCAAACAGATAACTGAGATTCCTGAGTCTATCTCTTATGTTCTCACATAATGTTTCCATGTGGAGTCTTCTTTTCTCTGGGTGATGGAAGTCAAAGAATTCTGCAGACTAACAGGGGTTTCAGTGGCCACCTCCTTCTCAGTACTGACGAGGAGGCACCCGCCCATGGGAGCGACCCAGCACACCCAAGGTCCCATGGCTATTTGGTATCCAAACACAGCCTCAAGCCACCGAGGCCCTATGACTTCACAAGCCCCCTTCTAGACATCGAATCAAATGGTACACATGACAACAGGCGGCAGCAAGCTTTTCTCAAAAAGGATGAGAGAGCAAACCCTTTCAGATTTGCAGGTTTCTGTTACAGCAACACAGCTCTGCCATCACAGCAGCCACAGATAATACATAAAGTAATGAGAGCAGGAGTGTTCCAATAAAACTTTATTTATCGATACTGAAATTGGAATTTCTTAAATTTTCATGTGATATATTATTCCCCTTTTGACATTTTTTAGCCATTTGAAAATACAAAAACCTTCTTAGCTCCATGGGCTATACAAAAACACATGGGCTGTATGTGGCCCACAGCCTTGGTCCGCAAACCCCTGGATTCGAAGGATGTTTCATTAGAATCAGAAGCCAAGAGACTCTAACGAGGCCTCATGAATGTTACAACGGCTGCTTTAATCACATTACTGGCATTGTCCATTCAACAGAATCCAAGAACCTGGACCGCGAGGAAGCCAATGGAGAGGCAAAACCTTATGACACCACCTCGAACTCACTAGCCACATCCTTCTCTGAATACAAATAAGGGGAAAACGCTATTCTCAGTGACATCTTCGAGTTTCTGCTCTACACCCCAAGCCAATGTAGATCTGGTCTTCAAAGAGTATTGCAACCTTTACTAGCACACAAGTTGCTTCTTATGGCCAGGTGAAGGCCATCTGGGACTCCAGTACATAGAAAAGCAGCAGGAGAGGAAGACTAACACACCCTAATGCCTTGCGAAAGCAGCTCCAACAAGAGGATGGTTGGCTTCGTCTAAACCTCCCAAGATGCTACAAATAGTTGCTAAATTTCCAGTCTTGGAGTTTCGGACCCAGTAGATCTGGGGCCAAGTAAGGAAGCCACTGCACGGACTGGAGAGCTGGGGCCTGTGAATGTGAAATCATCTAACACGATTTAAAGAAATGGTTTTCCAAATAGCTGAAAGGGCCAACAGACCTATCCCTACACCAGTTTCAGAGGAAATCTGAGAAGACTGAACTTTATGGGTTGTAATGTTTTCCCCAAAACTCCCATGTTGAAATCATGAGTTCTAGTATCTCAGAGTGTAACCTTATTTGGAAACGGGGTCACTGCTGATGACATTAAGTTAAGGTGAGGTCATACTGAGTAGGGTGGTTCTTAATCTACTTGGACTAGTGCTCTTGGACTAGTGCTGTTGTAAAAAGGAGATATTTGGACAGAACCACACATACTTGGGAAAAACACTGAATGAAGAGATAAAGATAGAAGGAGGTCATCTATGTCATCTATGAGTCAAGAAGAGAAGCCTGGAAGTTCCTTCCCTCCCAGCCCTCAGGGGAACCAAAGCTGCCAACACCTTGATCTCAGATTTCAAGCCCCTAGAGCTGTGAGACACTAAATTCCTGCTATTTAAGCCACCCCAGGTATGGTGCTTTGTTATAAGAGCCCCAGCAAATTCACACACTGAAGATCACAGAGAAACAAGATGGCTACTCAGAGGGTGTCAATAATGAGACAGAAACCCGTAATTTCTTGACATTTCTATACTGGAAAGTCCTATTGCTAAGGAAAACTGTGGGATGTTCCAGTTACAAAAACAGCTCCAGAATGACACCAGGCTTGTACCAGCTTCTCAGTATCTATTTGATGAGCTCTTTTTCTGTAGACAGGGCTGCCGACCCAGAATACCAGTAGGATGAGCTTGGAAACCCACAGTCCCCATCAAACAACTATTACTACCTAGCCACTTGGAAACTGTCACCTCTTTCGAATTGCCTAAAGTTATCACAACCTCCAAATTTTGTATTGCATCCAACCTAAATTAGCATCAAATTTCTTTAAAAAAGACTTTCTGGAAGAAATGTCAGTTTTCTTTCTGTCACTATCCTCTTGAACCATTTAAACCCCAACTCATTTCTGAGATTACATTTGGCTTACTAGTTTTTTTCTCTGCTTATCCATTAATCCTTCTATCTTTTCAAACCGATTTTGGAAAACAAACTGATTTTGGAGCCTGAGGGGTAGAGAACCAACTCCATCTTTTAAAAAATAGTCTGGAGAGGGAAGACATCCGATTCCTCTGATTAAAATTGCTTTACACAATTTCAGTGCAACAAGGCAATGTAGACTTTTTCTTGGGGCACCCTATAATGAGATTTGCCTTATGTCATGAAAATCAACTGCTCTATGCCTAATGCAGTGGTTTTTATTTTGCTGAGTCACTGTCAAAATCAGGCTGGCACTTGAGACAGTTCAACTTGCGGTGTGCTAGAACAAAAGTTTTTCAATGCTTTTTGGAGGGCACACTGCTTGTGACTCTCCCTGGGACAGAAACTATACTAGATGCTGAGCAGGAAAATGACCCTTTCTAGGAGACACAATGTGCTAATTCCTGGGAGATTAAACTTCTCTATAATCCAGACTTCCCAGCACAGAGCTCAAAACCCAGCTGGGTCCCAAAGTGGACATGATAGAACCGCAGAAGATTTGGAAATACATCCCTACCAAAAGCATAAATAGAATTATTCTTTGAATCACCAACAGGGCCAGAGAAATACATCTGAGCTGAACTCCTTAGTTGGTATGAACCAACAGTTCTTAACCACATGCCCTCCTAATGATTCTGATACACAGGCCTGTTCATAAATCTATGATAAGGCCCCACAGAAGCATCATGGTCCTGCATATTTAATAGACACATTTAGGCACCTATGTGGCTCAGTCCGTTAAGCATCCAACTCTTGCTTTCGGCTCAGGTCATGATCTCAGGGCTGTGAGATGGAGTCCCACTTCGGGGCTCCGCAATGGGCATGGAGCCCGTTTGGGATTCTCTCCCTGTCTCTCTGCCGCTCCCATCTCCCTCCCCCTCCCCACTTTCACTCTTGCACTCTCTAAAAAATAAATAAATAAATAAATAAATAAATAAACAAACAAACACATTTAGCTCCAACAATTTTCTGCCAGAGGAATAAACTATAGTCAAGGTATAAATTAAGATGTATTAACACGTGCTGAGGATCTACATAGTAAGCAATGACTTTTTTTTTTTTAAGATTTTATGTATTTATTTGACAGAGGGAGAGATCACAAGTAAGCAGAGAGGCAGGCAAAGAGAGAGGGGAAGCAGGCCCCCTGCTGAGCAGAGAGCATGATGCGGGGCTTGATCTTATGACCCTGAAACCATGACCTGAGCCGAAGGCAGAGGCTTAACCCACTGAGCCACCCAGGCACCCGGAAGCAATGACTTTTAACTAGATAGTAACCTAGGACTTCTGGACAGAGGCCAATGTGATTTAGAACACCATTAAAAAGACGATAAAATGTGGATTAGAACAGTTCTGCGTCAGTTAGGGCTGAATCACCACTAAAGGCTGAGTCATCACTAACGGCTAGCCGAATCATGCCTCTGTTTTGATGTTCTGTATCTTAAGTTTAAAACTTGGCATGAAAATAGGTTGATGTAAATCATTCATGTGAGAGAGAACGCTTTAAGTTTAAAACATTTATAAGAAAAAAAAAACTTATGGCTAACAGCATGAGCCAGTTACTTTTACTCAGACATAATGGTTTGCCTTAGTCAGGGGATGTAAAGACAGCAATATTTGTAAGAGGCAAGACCTTGTAAATATTTATGATGTCTCCAGCACGAAGGCCTGAACTCAAGGGTTACTTTGAAGGAAAGATGAATTTATCAGTACTATTCAAAGTACAGCAAAGGCTACGGCAGTACGTGAAATCGTAAATGATAAGAGCTTATTACATGTAAGCACTACGGATGTAAAGAAAAAGAGTAACCAAGAAAGGAATCATTGATATTACCAGCCAGCGAAAGAGAAAGGGGTCTATGTCTTCCTTACCGCCCCGGCTTTTTTTCTGGTAGTACCCAGGCAACAAAATCCAACATCATGACCTTGAAAGGCAGAAGCGTAGTCATCCAACTTCTCAAAGTCCACCACTTCTTGATTCTAGACAACAAGGACACAGCTGTATATAACTTGATGTTATTAAAAAAGAGGGGAAAAATACTCCTCTAGATTTAAAGAATAAATTATAGAACATTACTGAACAGGCTGCTCATTTATCATAAAACTTTGCAAGCTCTCTGCTCTGGCATCTTTTCTCCTGCCATTCTTCTTCTATCTTTTCCATGCAAGTCTACTTAGTAAGGCAGATTCCTACAGCATGAGAATCATAATTCCAGAGTGCTTATTTTACCTAGCAAGAAACCTCTGATAGAGCTAGAGTGGCACTGGTGCAGAGTGGCAAAAAACTGGGGCATTAGATATTAAGCATGGATACACTCAATAATGTACATAATATTAATAAGGTACCGTGTAGTTTTTCAGACTGATGAGCAAGTGACTGTTACAGGTACTGTTCACCAAATGGATACTTTGCTGGGAGACAAACCAGGTTTAATAATATAATTAAACAGAAATAAAATTAAGGAAAATGCATAATCATAAAAATTTTTTGCAAGCTCATTTTTTTCCCACTAAAAAGCAATTATCTGAATTCAAAATCAACAATGCACTGTATGTCCATGGTACACATAACTGGACCATAAGTGATTCGGATCTCTAAAGTCAGGTTCAATTTTAATTTTCTCTCTGGAAACATAAAAGACCTGTCTATACTACCAGGAGGGACACCAGTGAAGTACAATGTCAGGGCAAGTAATGGTGTTTGGAATCTCAAAGACCTAGGTTCAACTCCCGAGCCTGCTACTTAGTAAGCATGTAATTTTGGTCAAGTTATATGCCTCAGTTTTTCCAGCAGTAAAATGGGAATGATAATCTTTCCTTCAGTCCAATTCATGAACCACCTGTATTAGAATCAGCCAGTGAGTGCTTGATAAAAAGGCATATTAGGAGGTGTCACACCAATACTTCTGAAGCAGAAAATGCATTTTTAAAAAAGATTTTATTTATTTATTTGACACACAGAGTGAGTGAGTGAGAGAGGGAATACAAGCAGGGGTAGTGGGAGAGAGAAAAGCAGGCTTTGCACTGAGAAGGGAAGCCAGATGCAGGGCTTGATCCCAGGACCCTGAGATCATGACCTGAGCTGAAGGCAGATGCTTAATGACTGAGCCACCCAGGCGCCCCAGAAAATGCACTTTTAATAAGCATCCTAGGTAATTCTTGTGCTCACTCAGATTTAAGAACCTCCATGTAGGGATGCCTGGGTGGCTTAGTCGGTTGAGGGTCTGTCTCTTGCTTATGGCTGAGGTCATGGGGAGATCAAGCCCAGTCCAGCGGGGAGTCTGCTTCTCCCTCTCCTTCTGACCCTCCTCCTGCTCATGCACTCTCTCACTGTCTCTCTCTAAAACAAATAAATAAATGTTTAAAAAAAAAAAAAAAGAACCTCCATGTCACTTCACAAGTTTGTTGTGAAACTTAAAAAAGACAGATTGAGAAGTTCTCATCATCCAGGAATTCAAATAAAATGTAGTTTTCCTTCCCTACCATCAGCTCTTTCAAAACAATTTTTCTGGCACTGTAAACATGCTGAAGAAAAATATGTTCCCATTAAGTGCATAACCCAAAGACATGCCACCAAAACTCAATTATCAAAGCACGGAACTCAGTATCAGTTTCTAATTACCAGAGGTATTTGACACACTCCATGAAGCCAGGTGTGAAGACCACATATGAACTAAGTCTGAGCAAAGATGTCCATTTTAAACAGAAAAGTCCTGATGGACACAGAATAGATGTAAAATGATCTGACCATGGACCTACAGGGGTTAAGAACATTTATTTGTGAGACCACTTGTTGTTTGGGATGTTCTACCTGTGAAGCCCAGATAGGACAGGACTTGAAGCCCGTGGGACCAACTTCTATAGCTATGGGGATCTCGGGATCACATTATAGTTTAATTTACTGTATTTCACAACTCCCTTTATATGGGGAAAGGGATCTCCACAGAGCTCAGACTGCAAATATTTAGGGAAAGTCTGGCATATCCTTTGGTTAACCATGAAAGTGTGACAATGAAGAGAATATTCCATTTACAAGGCTACAGCCCTGGGATGTTAGGTGGGGCAATTCTTGTAGGTGAATAATCTCACCTTTATTGCCATAGACCTTGCCTGCAATTAACTGACATTAATACTGAGTGGGCACGTAAATAAAACAGGCAAAATGGTTGAGAAAATGGCCCCAGGTTATCAGGCGGTCTCCAGAACCCAGCTTGAATGGCTCTGAAAACTGGCTCTTCTGTCTTCTGAGCCCTCATTACAAGCCAGGCTGGCCTTATAGGGGTCTAGAAGGAGAGAAGGGCTTTGCCCAAGGTCATATAGTGAGTGGGGAGGCCAACCCGGGCCTGTAACCAGGACTCCAGTTTCCAGGAGGGGCTCTCACACACCATTTTGGGCCACACTGTGATCACCTCTCCTCCACCACAGGCCAGGAAATGTTCAGCCTTTAGACATGAATATATGTTCACTCCGAAGAATCACTGCTATTATATTTTTGAGTCCCAGCTCAAATACCCACCACATTTTTATAAGCATCTTCATCGAAGGTGAGCTTTCTCCGGCCAATGAGCGTGACTTTGGAAAACAGGCTCTGTTCCAAGATTTCTTTTAAGAGCACTCTGCCGGTTTCTCCGCTGGCGCCCAGAATAAAGACAGATTTATTTTGCATCCTGAAGTCTTCCCGAAGCTTCGGCAGTGCCTCAGTCTCGGCCATGCTGCAGAAATAACATCGATAGCTGCTGGTCTTGGGATGTTTAAGGGATGGCCCTAGCTTAACCGGGGTAACAATGGTGGTTTATTTGCTCTGGGAAAAGGTATGTTATTCTCCGAAGTCTGGGCCCAGCGACAAGTGCTGAATCGCCAAGCGGAAAGTGCTGAATCACCCGCAGGGCGTGGCACCTTGGCCGTCGCCCGAACCTGAGCCAATCTACACTTCCAAAGGGACCCTAACAGAAGAATACGCCCAGGTGCCATGGCACCCAAAGGCCTCGTTCCCGACGCTACTCCGGGTTCCAACCCCATCCCTCCTCTCCCCCACTGGGGTGCAAGGGCCCAGCTCGGTCCCCTGCGCGGAGGGGTTACCTGGAGCCAGGCCCCGACCCCCCGTCCTCACGCCGCAGCAGGAGCAGGGCGGCGACCAGTGTCACCGCTGCAGCCGCCACCGCCGCCGCGCTCAGCGCCGCGGGCCCGGCTGTCCGGGCTTCACCCCCTCCCCGCGGTTCTTTGCCCCCTCGCCCCATTCAGCGAGTGCTCCTCCCAGGTGCGCCCGGGGGTCGCCAGCAGCAGAGTCTGCGCCTACCCGATTACGTCTTCGGGTGACTTCGCGACGCCGCTTCCTCACCCCGCCTAGCGGGGCGGGGCCTGGGGGAGGGCGGGGGGTGGACGGGTGTTTGGGCGCAGGGCCAGGTCGGCCGCCAACACAGGCGCGGCGCCAGACGGTGTCGCGAGCTTGGAGACCGCCCCCTAAACGTCAGCAATCGCGAGCACCCTCTTTCCGCGCTCCGTGTCACCACCCAGGCTAAGCTCGCCCCATCCATGGCCTCAGCCAATAGACTGGACCTTTGCTGGTTTCTAAAACATGTTTCAGTTGTATATTGGACAACTCTGTCTCAAGTTCAGCACGTCAAAACCTTAACCTTTGCCACCCAACCACCCCAAACAAATGAAACAAACCTACTCCTTGCCTCTCCTGGGTTTCACTGTTCCTATATGCATTCTCACACTCCTCACCCCTCCCTCCTCTCTCAAGTCAGAAATTTGGGCGGTCCCCTTTGACTCCTTTTCCTGGCTTTTCCACAGCCCATTTTAATCAAGTCCTGTCCTATCTGCCTTTCAGATACTTCTCTTGAGTAAGCCTTGCTCTCGCCATAGCTCACCAGCATAACCAGTTTCCCTGCCCGGTCCCAGGCGGTGAGCCAGGGTGACCTTCCACACCGGATCCTGAGGTTCGCCCTCCCAAGCCACATCAGCAGTGTTTAGAATGTAACAGTCTACACCGGACAAGCTCAGGGTCTTGGAAATCCCGAACAGGAGTTAGAATCACAAGCAGGAATCTAAACGACAGAGACAGAGTGTGTTGTTGGTTATTTGGGGCTGCCCAGGACTCAAATTCTATCCCTATTTTTGGGAATTCCAAAATAAGTGGGAGGCAGGACCCCACCTCCCACTCTAGAAGCCAAGAGAAAGCTTTGCTCCCTCACCCAACTCTTTGGTATTGTGTGTAGGTGAGACCTGAGCTCAGTTCATCAGACACTGACAGGTTTTTCCGCTTTGCGGGGAGTATTAAGTAGATGCAGTGGAAGCCTGAGATAGGGTTTGGCTGGGTGGGAAAAGGTATAGGATAAGGGTATCCTCTGATCTGTCAGCCAGCTGATGGTGTACTCGGTTCTGTGTTTTGCCTTCTTAATTCTGGACTGTTTACAGAGCCTGTTCTTTATAGTTTCTGTTATTCTTCTAAAAATTTCGTTTCCTGCTTAATAACCAGAGCTACTTTCTCTTGCTTGCAATAAAAAAACCTTGAATGATACAGAGCAGAGTGATTTGTTCCCCACTGGCCTGTCATGGTGCTAGGATCCCTCCCTTTGAGTCTTTACAGCTTTTCTACTAAAATGCAACTTAAAATCTTGTCAGCTAGCCCTGTCTCAAGAATTCATTCATCACATCTGTTGCAGAGATTATTAACTTTCCTCTAGTGTACATTCTTCTTCTCTTCCGTATTATTTTTTAATTGTGGCATAATTGCTATACAATAAAACGCAACCATCCTAACAGTTCAGTTCCATGATTTTAGACAATTTTGTATACACCTAGGTAACCCATCTAAACCAAGATCTAGAACATTTCAGTCATCTTGGAATCATACCTTCATTTCTCTTTCTAGGCAATCCCTCCCCATCCTAGAAGCAACCATTTTCTGATCTATTAATACAGATTAGTTTTGTCTGCTACAGAAGTTCATTCAATAAAATCATACAGCATATACTCTTTGGTGCCTCAAGTTTTTCTGCTCAACATAATGCTTTTAAGACTCATCCGTATTGTTTGTAGGGTTGCATTATTTTTTTTAAAAGATTTTATTTATATATTTGGAACAGAGAGATCACAAGTAGGCAGAGAGAGAGGGGGAAGCAGCTCCCTGCCAAGCAGAGAGCCCGATGCGGGGCTGGATCCCAGGATCCTGAGATCATGACCTGAGCCGAAGGCAGAGGCTTAACCCACTGAGCCACCCAGGCGCCCCTCTAGGGTTGCATTATGACCTTCAAAGGTCCTAGTGACTTCATGGGCCCCTTTCTTAATAAAAAATAAAGTTAAAAATTCATCTCTTATATTTGTGTTACTATAAAAACAAGTATGTCTGTATTAATTAACATTGATAAAATGTTCTCTTCAGGCTTAAAGTTCATTTTTTCCTCCTGATAGTAAAGAAATTGGAACATTCTCATGGGCCTGGCACTGCACCTGCTGTGCCAAATGGGTAAGACAGCCCTGGTTGTTTCATGTATTTTGTACTTTGTTCCTCTGTATTGGGGAGTGGCGTTCCATTGTATGAATATCCCATACCAGGTTGCATTATCCTCCTCTTGATGGACATTATTCTCCTCTTGGTTTGTTTCCTGATTTTGGCTATTATGAATAAGGCTCCTATGAACATTCTTGTACCAGTCTTTCTGTGGACACGTATTTTTATTACTCCTAGGAAAATACCTAGGAGAGGAATGACCGAAGAGTTCGCTCAGCTGAACACATCATTTTATTCTCCTACCCACTTGGTATCATCGATCTTTTTAATTTTAGTCATTTAGTGAATGTTAAATGATGATATGGCTCCTCGTCTTTCTTTTAGTATAGAGTCCCAAGTTATATTGGACAACATGGCTGTCCATTTAGATTCTATATTTCCCAGTCTCACTTGCAAGCCAATGTGACCATGTGACAATGTTTTAGCCGATGAGTGGTGAGCAGATATAATATGTGCCTGTTTGAATCACATTCTATTTCATTTATTTTTGCATTTTTTAAAATTTATTTTTTTATTTGAGAGAGAAAGCATGAACGGGGCTGGGGCCGGGAGAGGGAGAGAAAGAATCCTCAAGCAGACTCCCTGCTGAACATGGGGCTGGTCCTGGGGTTTGATCCCACAGCCCTGAGGTCATGACCTGAGCCAAAATTAAGAGTCGGAGGCCTAACTGACTGAGCCACCCAGGTGCCCCTTGAATCACATTTCAAGAAGGAAGTTCCCTGCTCTCCCTTCACTTTCCCTTTCCTCCTATCATTAGGCCAGAACATGAAGGTGGTGCATTTTGAGCCACTGAGCCACCTAGTGAGCCAGCTCTGACCATGGGAAGAAAAACGCCCCAGGCCATGGCAGAGCAAGAAGTTAGAACCTGAGAACCATGACTTCCTAGAACAGAGACACTTACCCAGCCTGGACTGTCTGCCCTCCTGTGGGCAGTGGGAGAGAAGTAAAGGTCTGTCATGTTGGAACCACCTTAATTTTGTTTCTGCAGCTTAGCTGACCGTTGCCTAAAATCCTTTTAGTCAATCTTGCCAATGGGTACTTAGTGATTTTTTTTAATGTGAGCTAAATACTGTGCGAGGCACTATAGATTTTTCCAAGATGAATCAGATACCATATACAATTACTCTCTCCTGAAAAGGCAAGTCATGAATAATACTCGAGGAGTCAAAAAGTACACGATAAAATTCTTAAGCATCCCCAAAACCTTCATAGGGTTTTGCACATGCTAAATGCCAAGTGAGTATACAAACAAGTAATGGAAACTCAGAGAAAGACAAGCCCATGACTTTTTTCTCTGACAGTTGGTAAGCATCAAAGCCCTGAGATAATGTGACATGTTCTCAGTCACAAAAGTCCATGGCCAGTGGGGAAAGAAAAGCATAAAGGAAGGAGGAGAAAAGGAACATGGAAAGATCCTGGGTGAGAAGACCTGTCTGGCAAGTTCAGGTTTGACATCACCTTTACTTAAATCAAGTCTGTTCATTATCTTGGCCTCCATTTTGTTACCTGTAAAATGAGAACTGTTTTATTAGGTTCATTTTGCTCCAAGGAGCAGAGACTCTCACCCCTGCTATATTGTAGGTGAGTACTGTAAGGACACACATATTGTGTAGGGGAGACTGAATCTCCCAGAAACCTGAAATATGATCTGCCATAGGGTTTGGCTTCATGGAGACAGAACTGAAAGGGTCGTTCCGTGTTTGGCTCAAATGGAGATTCTTTAGGGTCAAGAATCCATGCATCTTCACTTTTCAGCTATATTTTTTACTTATACCTTAATTTAGACTCTTTCTGTTTGTAGCAATTGAAACACCAACTCAAAATGCTTGGAGCAAAAAAAATATACTGACTCATGCAAATGAAAAATTAGTGTGCGTGACAGCCGTGGGCATAACCTAGAGTCAGGTCTTAGCCAACAGGGCCAGAACTCAGTCCTTTTGGCTCCCTTGACTCTGGTCTCCTTCAAGTTGATCTTCTCTCAGACCCCACAAGATAACCTGAAGGATGTGAGCAGCTCCAGCCCTTCACCCTCTGTTTTAGCCAGGGTCAAAGATAGGAAAGCTAATGGCACTCCAAGTGGGTAATCTAGGGTAAGTGTACTAAATGGATGGTGTTTAAAAGATCAAAGGTGGGAGAGATGTTGAGTCGCTAGAACTTAGGACTGTCCCACAGGAGCTGTGATCTTCAGTGGAGGAGACTCCACTGGGGAGAAGCTAGGGGAATAATGCTTCAGACTTTCTCTTCTCCCTCCCTCTGGTCTCCTGCTGGTACTTCAAACTGGCTGAATTCAACTAGAAGTCAGGGGGAACTTACATGGTGCAGACTAGGTTTCTCAGGGGCATAGAGCAGGGGGAAGAAATAAGGAGAGTGGATCATTCAAGACATCAAGTGCATCCTCCCAGATTCAAGTTTAACAGAAAAGGGCACAATTGTAAACAAAAGTCCCTCTTCATTCTGTTTACATTCTGACCATCACCGTGGCCAATGGAATGGAGCCTGGATGGGGGTGAGGAGGTAGAGCCCCCAAGGAAAGTAGATGTCACTATTAAGAGAAGAAAGGATAATGAATGTTAAATGGCATCTAAAGTGGTCATACTTGTCCATTTGTTAGCCCATTTATCCATAAATATCTA